TTGATCCAGTGTGCAGGAATTACATATGGTATTAGATTCTAGGCTTAGCTTCTAGTGTAATATAATAGTTCAAGTAAAAAAAACTATCAAATAATTTTTTAATTATTAATTTGCGACAGACATAAAAGAGTCAATTAGTCGTGTAAAACCAGAGCATGAGTCAGGAATGAAACTAAAATAATACTGTCACACATTGTAAGTGTGCAGACATTCAAAATTGACGCCAATGTCGAAAGACATAAAATTCTTGTGCTTGTGTCAGAAACAAATCATCCACGAGATGATACCTTGATCATTTCACTTGAAACTGATTGAAGAAGCAAACACCAATGCCCAATTACATTTAAAATTGCGTCTTTGTCAGTGGAATGAAAATGTGTGCAAGATGTGAGTCAATTGCACAAAGAGGAAAGTCAGTGTCCAGCCTTGTAAATAAAGATTGTTGTCTTTGATCACTCTTTGTACTTTGTAGGAAATCGTCACACCTCAGGGTGAGCTCAGCTCAATGACGCAACCCACCGCAGGAAATCAGATACAAGGAGGTCCACATAAAACAGTGTCATAAAATTCAACTGGATACTTACACCAGATTTGTTTCTCTTCAAAATTCACTTAATAGCTCTCATGAATGCTATAATAATAGCACTTTTTTGGGTGGGGGGGGGGGGTTATTAAAAAAATAAGTTCTGGTCACCCACGGTGCAGGCTTTTAGTCGGAGACCACTGTACTAACTTACTGACAAACTATGTAACATCGCTTTTAAATCGTTATCAGTCATTTGTCTTAGTTGTACTGTCCTTATGAAACGTACTCCCACTCCACTCATCCCATTTTCCCAACCTTGTCGTGTAGATTTCAGATAGCATTCATTTGACAAAATCAGCCTTTCATCCTTCAGTACATGATGTAACTTTCAGTTTGAATTCGTAATATACATGCTGGGTGGTTGGAGGGGGCCAGTGGTAGGGCCTACTTCTTTACAACTTTTCCCTCTGTTATTTCTGCCTCTTTCACTTTTTCCCCAGCACTGAATGACCATTATTGTGAAATGTGCTTCTTTTTATTCAAACCAACAAACACTTGCATACTCACACACACTCACATACACACGCATTACTTACTAGTGCTTCAAATCTTCTGTGTTAATTTATGGAAATCGGTACTTTCTGAAAGTTCTGTACTTGCTTCACCTCCCACCCTCTTCCCCATTGTTATCAACTCTATCTGTGAAATGTGCGACGGTGTAGGGCTACCGATACTGCGTTGTAAAGGATCAGTACTTACTTGCCTCTGTACAGACTCGCACCCTATAAAAGTCCCGGATATTATGGTACTTCTCGACAATAAGATAAATATTATATTAGAAACCTTCCAGATTGCATCCTGCACCCGACCATTATATCCCCCTCTATGCATTCTTTGCGGGTTGTTCAGCAAAACATTTTCACCTCAAATCAGCCCAAATCTGGCTTATTACGAAAGACAGTGAAATTTTGTGCCAGTTTTAGAAGTTCTCCATTTATTCACTCATTCTGTCTGTATCCTATGGGTTATTCCCGCAATTGGAAAATATACTTTTACAATGTTCAAGCAAATTGAATTGTGATTTTTAGAGAGAAAATCGCTGTCAGAAAGAAACTTTTCTCAAATCTGTCTAGATCTAAAGATTTTGCTGGTGTGAGGATTCAATGGGAGTATGACAACAGAAAGACCATGTTGAAAGAAACTGATGCTAAAACTAAAGCTAAGAACAAGAATAATTGAAGATGTTACATCAGAGGTTGTGACAATGAAACATGAAAATGGGTAAACGCCGCATGACTGTGTGGTCAAGTTTCACGTTCCTAGATTTGCTGTAATGTAGATGAAGAAATCAAACAAGGCAAAAAATAGGTAATGGGTTGATGGAAATATATTCAAACAAAAATAGGTATAATGGGTTGATGGAAATATATTCAAACAGGCTTCAAAATACCATTTTCAATCGTCTTAAAGTGCTAAATTTGAATTGGGGGGGGGGGGGGGGCTTCGCCCCTGAGCCCCCGCCAGGACGCTATCCCTGGACCCTGCTGGGGATGGCCTCTAGACCCCCAGCAGAATAAAAATGCTTTGTCTCTTGAAAGCACTACACACATGCACACACACATGTACAGTAACAGTGTGCATGAAAGAGGCAGAGACACACAAAAGAAACCACCTACATTAATTTGGAGCCTGTCCCACTTAAATTATTACCTTGCTGCATTGGAAGAGGAGTTTTTTTTCTGATTTTCATTGTTTCCAGGGCATGTAGTGAGGTGTGTGTATTAAATCCTTTTTTTTCCAAGACAATTTTATAACAATAAAATCTGCCACATGATGCAGCTCTCTAGAAAAACTTTTATAGTCTTTTTTCATTTTTGTGTGCATGTTAACCTCCTCTCCATCACCAACCCATGAGCTGAGTGTAATGTTTTTGCTGGTTTGTTTTTCTTCCAGACTGAACAACAGATTGATTGTGCCTTGGATTTGATGAGGAGGTTACCTCCTCAACAAATTGAAAAGAATTTATGTGATCTTATTGATCTGGTGAGTACTATAGTTTATCATAGAATTAAAAATTGATAAACGATCACATTATTCTCATAGTGTGCGTAGGCAGGGAGGAGAAAATGTAGGGGACACTAAGAAGCAGTTCTCATGGAAACATTCACTACCCTATTTCTCTAAACCTGCTCAATATCCCCACCTTCAGGAGTTTTGTCTATACTATATAAAATCATTTTACTTGTGTATGTACTTTCAGACCATTAGATAATTTTGTCTCATGGGTTGGGGAATATTTTGGGGATTGAAATGGAAAGGTTTTAATTATTAAAGAAACAGTAAAATTTGTTTGAAAGTGAACAGCACTGTACTGTTTACTATAATATTTTTCTCTTTGAAATTTGTAAAAAAAATTATGAGTATTAATTGAAATAGCACCTATTGGTAAAAAATGTTTAGAATAGTATGGGCAGTCTAATAAACATTGTGTACTCCATATCTGTCTTTTTCAAGGTGCCCTCTCTTTGTGAGGATTTACTTTCATCAGTGGACCAGCCTTTGAAGATTGTGCGAGACAAACTTGTGGGCAAGGATTACTTACTTTGTGATTACAACAGAGATGGTGATTCATACAGGTAATTAGCATTGACAGAGGTATAAATTATTATGTTATTACTAATTTGAAAGAAAAATACAGTATAACTCGGATATAACTCAAATTCATCGGGACCGGCCCCCGGTAATTTGAGGGATCCGTAGTTCGAGAGATACGTGAACAGTGTTATGACATCGGCCATGTCAGAGAATCAAGGGAAGCAAGAAAGATTGGGTCAGAACAGAGATTTGTATTTTTTTAGCCATTGCCCTAGATCAGATAGGTTAGATTTAGATAAGATAAGATACATCTTTATTGTCCAGATCCTAGCACATTGGTTTGGTGTTCCACCTCGTGTACACACACATGCACACACTCACGTAGGCTTACAATCACATGCATAATATAAATGAGCAGCAATATAAACAATAATAATCGTAAGCTAGATACACTCAATGTTATTTTGATGCATGCTCTAAGGTCGTAAGTACTTACAAAATGGTTAAGATGGAAGCATTTTGAAAGATGATGGTAAAAATGACCTTCTGTATCTTTCTTTGTTACAGATCAAAAGCCTAGGTCTTTTACTTCTGACTGATGTTTTTATTTGAGGGAACAAGGGATGTTTGTTGTCTAAAAAGATGGAATTAATTTTTTTTGTGCAAGCTGTTTTATAATTCATCCAAGTAGGGGAATGAAGATGTTGAAATTTTACATGCTTTCCGTATTAGTAGATTTAATTTTTCTTTATCTTGTTGTCTTGTGTTCCCGGCCCATGCTGTTATACAAAAATTGATCATACTTTCTATGGTAGAATGGTAGAACATGGACATCAATGTTTTATCAACTTTAAAATACTTTAGCTTCCTTTGAAAAAATAGTCTTTTGTTCACTTTTTTTTATGCAGGAGTGAAGTGTGGACACGCCAGTTTGAGTTTGTTGCCTATTGTAACACCCAAATTTGTGCCTATTGACTTGAATTTGAAAATGACAGATTGAAAATGAGAAACACAATGAGCAACGCTTTCAAGTTCGATTGGTAATAAGCCTCCCGGTACCAAGACAATTTCATTGCGTGGGTCAGTGTAAGCGGTCTTAAATAGTTTGCACCAATCGAACAGTGTCTTTTCAAACTTTTCTAAACATAAACAATTTGACAAGATAAGCATATCACAACATTCATCAACAACGCGATGACGAAACAATGCAACCTGACCCGGCCTCTCCCACCAAGAGCACTGTCTTTACAAAGAGAGGTGGGGCAGCCGATCGTATGATGCACAACCCTTCCTCTCACCCACTCCACACAACACAAGCCTAGCTAGGCTTAGGACCTAGAGTGCTAAAAAAGGCACAGTTAGCTGCTTTGGGGGGGGGGGGTATTTTACCGACCGTGTCTTTTCTATTAAATTCCATGTTTGTGTTTGGGTAATTTTTTTACCAAAAAAAAACTGGACCGCAGGCACAGTTCGGCGGATGTATGATTTCGAGTAATCTGTGTTCGACCTATCCGTGTTATACTGTATATCTTTTTGCATTCTGTGAATGGCTTGTACTTTGCTCTTCTTCATGACTCAGTATATATAGAAGTTCCTGCCAATATTTTTACTGTTCAAAGTTAGTTTCACAACTTAATGTGAATCTTTCCTTCCATCCTTCTCTCTCTGCATCTTCCCAGCCACGAATTCATGTGAGTGTGACTTTCTTATCAAGCCCTGTAGATAAAAAGCTGTATTTTGAAGTGCAACAGTTACTTATACTGAAATATAATATATAATAAATCTTTTTTTCTTTTTCAAGGTCACCATGGAGCAACAGTTATGACCCCCCATTGGAAGATGGAACAATGCCGTCGGAATCACTACGCAAGCTCGAGATTGAAGCAAATAATGCATTTGACCAGTACCGGGAGATGTATTTCGAGGGCGGCGTGTCCAGCGTCTACCTGTGGGACCTCAGCCATGGCTTTGCTGGTGTGATACTCATCAAGAAAGCTGGGGATGGCTCTCAAAAGATCAAAGGTTGCTGGGATTCCATTCATGTCATTGAAGTTCAGGTAAGGTGCAAGATCATTCTAATATTTTTCCGCTTAAGATACAGTAGTTAACAGAGGGGTTTTTTGGGGTTGTTTTTTTTAAAGATTTTAAGTGTTAGTTGAAGTTTGTAGTATGAAGTCTGATTTGCTTTTCTGTTGTTGTTGAAAGAAGTGCTTATTTAGGCCACATATGGCCTAAATAAGGTAAGGGAGGGGGGTTTAGCTTATTTAGGCCACACATGCTCAAACTACCGGGGGACACCCTTTTCAGGCAACTGAGTTCGTTCCACTTTCATAATGGTGCACCTTTCTCACTTAGTACAGTTTTGTCTCAGTGTACAACTTATATATATATATCACAATGAATATTGTAAGAACAAAGCACAATACGCAACATATTGCTCAATCCCAATGGTTTGAATGAGGGCCAGATTTTTACTTCATGGAGGGGCAAAATCTCGGCTAACATTTTGGCACACTTTGGTCAAGTGAAAAGGTCAAATCCTCCGAATGGACTTCCGGGTCAAATTTGGGGTATAAAAAGTGTGTACACAACGTGGCTGAGTCAAAGTTACACTATCTTTGCCTGAGTGGCACTCTCTTGTACTGTCTCGTAGTAGTAGTAGTACATCTCTCGTACTGTCTCGTAGTAGTACATGTAGATTTAGTAGTAGTAGTAGTAGCAAAGGTCGTGTAGAGAATCTTTGGTAGTAGAATCTATCTAGTAGGCAGTTTCGTGAATGTGCACGCGGCAGTGCGAATCGGCCTCGATAAGCCCCGTAGACCTTTGTGATCGGCCACGAAGCCTCGTGTTTTGAAGGGTCTAAACAACTTAGTGTTAATCGCACTGCCACATCCGACAGGCCTACATCTTTTTAAAAGGAAAAGAAACGTCATCAAAATGGTTGAATTTGCGTGAAAATCGATTCGGTAGAACTGGAACTACTAAAATTTGCTTCTGAAAGCAAGTTACAAGGCCATTTTTATAACTCGAAATAACTATTGGCTGTGTTATTGTGTATAAATTATGAAACTTCAGGACGTATTATTATTTTCCAACATCTTTTGACGCCTTAGCTGTAGAGGTTGAAGTTTTCACAACACTAATAGATCTAGTAATAGGGCTGTCCGTAAAAAATGCATAGATCTACAAAAGCCGAACCACCGAATCGACCGGTCAGCGACCTGGGCACCCCGCTCTCCCCTGCACACTATGATAACGTGTTGCTTTGGTATAATTATTCAACTATTAATACGTGCGGCTATGGCAATTGGGATGTACTGACTGACAAAGCGATTCACGGTTTTGTTTTTATTTTACCATATATTTGACTTTAATAGTGCAGGTGATAGCTAGATCTAGATTCCCTGTCTAGAATCAGCAGTAGCACGCCTATACTATGCTAGAAGCAGCCAGAGAGCCTACAACTGCTAGATCTAGATCTAACTCATTGCTATGCCTTTGGGCTTTGGAATTGAAATAAAACGAATTGCACAGTTCTAGTTAATTTTAGATTCAGCAACTATCTGTATTTCCAGAGTTAATAATAACAAATCTCAGCATAACAATCACTTTTACTTTTATTAGAATAATTAGTTCCAACTTTTTTTTCTAAAATCTGTTTTGCGCAAACTTAAGACTTTCTCTACTTGTAGAGCACAGAATTTACATTGTAAGCCTCCGCTCAGTCTTTTACTTTTGAGTATATATATACATAATAAAATACGTATAGATCTTGATCTTTATTATTATTATCATTTTATGTTATTTTCTGGATATTTTAAAAACTTTTTTTAAACATTTCATAAAGTAAAATTGTGCCTTTTCTTTGATAAGAATAGCGTTAGCAGTGGACTTTTTAGACAGTGAGTCTCTGATTCAATATTTAAAAAAAAAAATATGCCATGCTAATCAATGAAAATTGCAAATTGATAATAGTATAGTCCTGTAGAGGATAGGTGGACTCCGGGGTCTGCATAGCGAAATACTAGGTTTTAGGATGTGAACCCTGGAGTCACCGTAGTGAAATAAGGTTTGGTTTAAGTAAGGATCGGTGTACCCCGGGGTCAATGTAGTGATAAATAAGCAGGTTTAAGGTGGACTACTAGCGAAATACTAGGTTTTAGGACAGGTGGACCCCGGGGTCACCGTAGTGAAATAAGTAGATTTCTTTAAAGATCAGTGGACCCCAGGGTCACCATAGTGAAATAAGTAGGTTTAATTTTAAAAGGATTGGTGGACCTCGGAGTCACCATAGCCGTAGAGGAATGGAATAAGAAGGTTTAATTAAGGATTGGTGGACTCCCGGGACACTGTGATTAAACCTACTTATTTTACTACGGTGACCGCATGGTCCACCTATTCTAAAACCTAACTAGTATTTCGTTAGGTAGACACTGGGGTCCACCTTAAACCCACCTATTTCACTACGTTGACTCCAGGGTCCACCAATCCTTAAAATTAAACCTAGATCTACATGTACTTATTTCACTACGTTGACCCCAGGGTCCACCAATCCTTAATTAAACCTAGATCTACTGATTTCACTATGTTGACCCCAGGGTCCACCAATCCTTATTAAACCTAGATCTACTTATAATTTCACTACGTTGACCACGGGTTCCGCCAGTCCTACTATAAAATAAACTGAGATCTACTTATTTCACTATGTTGACCCCGGGGTCCACTGATCCTTAGACCTTGATCTACTTATTTCACTACACTGATTCCGGGGTTCACATCCTAAAACAGTTTTTTTTTTTAGGTAGACCCCGGTTCACATCCTAAAACAGCATTTTTTTTAGGTAGACCCCGGGGTCCACCTATCCTTTTGGGGCAAGATAGACCCCGTGGTCCACCTATCCACTTCCTTAATAATAACTGAAAAACATGCCAGCTGTCATGAATAGTGAAGAAAAATGTGGGGAAAAAAAAGATAATGAGGTAGACTATAATTTGTCAAAAAAATTGCAAGTGCAAGTGAAGATCATAAGATAATTTTGTTATTTTCTGGTCATCTTTTCACGGTTTATAGAATGTTCCAGTGGGCCTACTACTAGATCTATGTCTCTGAAGAACATTTTGCTTGACTTTATTAGCTTTTTTTTCATGTACTTGAAAGCATAGAATATAATAGTTTCACACAAATGTATGCACAATACCTTGAAAAAGAAAAAAAAGGTCATTTTTGTTGTTGTTTTTTAACGGAATCTGTTTTACGTTGAGAAAAGCGCTAAAAACAAGTTAAAAATTTTAAGAATTCCCATAATATTAGGAATCCGAAATTACTACCTTGATCTAGTTTGCTTACTCTTTAATAACCATGAGCTGTTAAGAAAAAAAGAGAATGATATAGGATTTGTCTAAATATGACCATTAGTATTAGCATTATAAAGATATTGCCCATTTTGTCCAATTATCCTTGCAGGTAAAATCACCCTGTACTGCACCTCATTAAGCACAAAAAGAATATTTCTGTGACTTTGTATAAAGGTGTTTTGTAGTTGAGTTCTATGTAAAATTCTCAACAAAATAATGTACATTTGGACCGTACAACTGAGATAGACACTCATGCACACAATAACATTCACACATTACACACATACACACATACATACACATTTACTCTCTCTCTCTAGATCTCTCTCTCACCACAACCACACACAAAACAAACACATACACACACACATACACACACACACATACACACACTCACACACACACACACACAGACACACAACTCTTACCCTTGGTCCACTTATCATTTAGTATCATCCTCTATTTTGAAATAATACCCCGCACTAAATAAAAAGATCAGTAGAATCTCGACCTTCCGAATCCATGGTTAGTTCAAGAAATCTACCATATGATTAGTTCAAGAAATCTACCATATGATTAGTTCAAGAAATCTACCATATGATGTGGCCTAAATAAGGTAAGGGAGGGGGGTTTAGCTTATTTGGGCCACAGTGTGGCCTAAATAAGGTCACCCGTTGTTGAATACTGGCAATTGAGTCTTGATGTAATTTATTCGAAAATTGCAGCAAACCAATTATTATACTGATTTCCTTCCAGATTCTAATTTGCAATTATATCCATTTCCTGTTACAGATTTTGTAGTTTGTTAATGATTGAACTGTAGGATCTAACATTTTATTTTGTCGACATTTTGGCCTGTAAACGTTAGAACATCTGGCCGACGAAAAAGGCTTCGCTCACTCCAGACTGAAACTAAAAGTTTTTAATCAAAGGATGTCATAGACGTAGTCCTCACAGTAATTTCTGTACTAACAAAATTTGTCTCTTTCTTTTAGTAACATGTGATGCGGGTGGTTGGAGTGTGCCACCGTAGGTCCTAAGGTGTGAATAGAAATTATGATGCTTAGGCTGATGTTCTGCTCACTTAAAAACTTAAGTCTCGTAACTGAAAGGAGATGCTTCATATATGACCAATGTTGTTTATTATAACATATCATTATTATGATCCTTATATAGTGGTCCATCCAAGTCCTTACTGGTATTCTGCTGATTAACCATTCTTTATGAAGATTAAACCTGCTTCTCGCTCCTGACAGCTATGTCTGACATGAAAAAAATGCGATCTTTGAGTTTTTTTCTATTTACCATTTGTGCTTTGCAACCCTCTTCCCCCCCCCCAAGTCTTCCAAGACCAGTTCCCTTGGTTTGACTACTTGGTTTGCAGTATGGCGCACTGAGATGTGCACAGAAAGAGACAGGTAGAGTGTATGCGGCTCCTTAAGGTTTACGATATAATCTTATATGTAAACTGAAATTTCAAACCATTACGATTTCTACATAAGGTTTGCTTTACATTCTTCATCCATCCATCATCCATGTCTACAGGAAAAGTCCAGCGGAAAGAATGCTCACTACAAGCTGACCTCGACGGTGATGTTGTGGCTTCAAACAAACAAAGAAGGTTCAGGGACCATGAATTTGGGAGGCAGCTTAACGAGACAGGTATTTCTTTTCCTTCATTCCCTCGCTAGATCTTAGGGAGCACTATCAGTAGGTAGATCTAGTCCAGTCTACAATGTAACAAAATGTTTAATACATGGCTGTTTATCCATCCTGAGTGTACGAGACTGAGACAGGGCTTTGTTCTGCAATAAAGAATGCATAGGTGTCAGCATGCCATAATACTTGTTTTTTGAGTAGTTCAAGTTGATGAGTGTCAAGTGCATTGTTGATATTGTTTCCTTTTTCTTCCCTCTGTGTGTTTGCTAGGGAAATGTTTGGCTTTTCATAGAATGCAAACTGTACTGAGAAAGACTTATAAGTGAAGTACTCGTGAAATAAGCCCAGAGTCTTTCTTAATATGCCAGTGCATGTTTAATTGTAAATGCTCTGTGAGAAACCTGAACCTGTTAATTCCTTTGTACTATGTCCAAATTATTTTTTTTCCCAAAAAAATTAGTTGACAGCTTGAAAATGCTTGCTGCAAAACTTTGTATTCCCTGTATTTTAGCCTGGGTACTTTGACTTTCGTCAAGAAAGTAGGCATTTAGAGACAAGTTGTATAAAAATTAATTTATATGGGCTAATTCGGGTTTCTTGCTCTTGTGGTCTGCAGTCTCCTGTACAGTTGGGGGGGGGGGGGGATAAGGTGCGTGCTGTGGTTTGCTCCTTCTTTACTATCAACTTCCCCGGGGTAATGCCACTGACTGTAGTGTCTTTAGGCCATTCCCAAAGGGGGGACATTTCTTGTTCAAGCGCAGTAGAATTGTAAATGGGCTGATTCATGTCACGCTCATAACTGTGCCTGATCTACAACAGTGAACTGCTGCTTTTTCTTTCCTAATCCTTACTATTGTCATTTTTCCTCTACTTCTTTTGTACGTTTGTCACTGTCTTGTGACGTGCTATTTTTGAGGTGCCTTGATAGTCGAAGCAGACCTTGTGCTGTTGAAGCTAGAGAGGTGAGCAGAATAAGTCTGATTCCCTTTAAAGACTTCTCTGTTGACACCCACCCCTTGGCGCTCATATGACCTTATGCAGTTGCGAGCGCCGTAAAACCCTCTACTATAAAAAAAAATAATAATTTCTTATCAAACATCTGTTATCCTTATCCCTCCTGTTTCTTTTCTTTGTATGTTACTCCATAGTATTACCTCAAATCTTCAGCATTTGTATTACTATTTATGTTGTAAGTGCCGTAAAACTCTATGTAGAACATATGCTAATAGACTGTTTGTGTGTCTTCTAAGTTGAATGTAGTATTGTCGAAGAGAAAAGTGGTAGTCTTAGACAGGTGGTTCATTTGGACACTGTCATTTTAATTTTGTTATAATATATAGAAAAATCGGGGGCAGTGGGCAGTAATCGTTTTTACAAGTGGTTGTCTTGGACACGTGGTTGTTACAGCAGGTTGGACTGTAGTTATATTTTTTCTTTCTCAAGACAAGAAATAATCGTCATTGTTTATTGTTTCTGCGTTTGCTTTTCAGGTTGAAAGTGATGCTGCTGTCAATGACAATTCACCACATATAGTTAACATCGGAAAGATGGTGGAAGTAAGTCGTTATATTTACTTTTCTCGTTTTGATTCGCTTTCAATTGTTAAGTGATTGGCATAGCCATTAAAACATTATTTTTTTGACTTCTCATTCATTGAACGTTGACTTCTTGAACTCCCTTCTTGCAAAGTGTTGCATATAATAGTAATTTACTGGCTGCTGTCTGGTGCATTTTGTTTAAAATGGTACTTTAGCTGAATGATTATGTGAGTGGTTGGTGGGTGCTCTGGTATGGTTTGCTCTTTCTTTCCTATCAAACATCTATTGTCCTGATCTCCCCTTCTTCTTTTTTGTGTTTATAACTCTTGTAACACCTCTAATCTTCAGCACTTATATGACCTTATTGTGTTGCAAGTGCGGTAAAACTCATACTAAAACTAAAACGAATTAATTTGTTTAGGTATTGACTTGCCTTCCCATCTTGGTGAAAGTTCCGTAAATGTAAAGTTATAAAGTTTGACGTTGGTTTTGTATATCCTGATTAAGTGTGATTTATTCATGAACTTAAAAAACCCACCCCTGCTGTGTAGAATGATAAGATTTTAAATGTTTCCTCTTTTTTTTTTTTGCTTTGCTAATTAGCTGTTCTTTCTCTGTGTAAAATTCAGGCATAGCTTTGCTTTCATTTTGCACCAGGTATAAATGATGTATAAAGGTTCTTTAAAAGTTGAGAGTCTGTTTTATGAAAATTGTAACTTGTATTTAATTCAATTCTTAGATTACGCTGTGAATATTCCCTTTTAAAAAAATTATGTTATAATGAATGCAAAATGTTCATTTTCTCTTTTTCGATTCAAGTTCTTTTACATTCAAGAGAGAAGAGGAATTATCCATTTTTCATCTTTCTATGATAGCCATGAGAAAGGTATACTTGTGAGGGATAAGAAGATCATAAATCATAAATTTTTTTTAAGTACATGTATTTGTCATATGCACAGTGGTTTTAGTTTTATGAGATGAATTATACTGTATTAAAAAGTCCAGATCATGAAATTTTTATGGCAATAGATTAATGAGTCACTGCTGATCCCGGCTTAGAATTTCAGTGTTTGGAAATTTGTGTTTTGGAATGTTTTGATGACTTTTTTCTTAAATTACAATTTTACAGGAAATGGAGAACAAAATTCGAAGCACCCTCAACAGCATCTATTTTGGCAAGACCAAAGACATTGTGAACCGACTCCGTTCCCACGAGCCTTTGCAAGACTCCAAGCAACAGGCGGCGTTCAAGAAAGACTTGTTCCAGGCGCTCTCCCAGCGGACTCAGGCTCAGTGATGCTGCGTGCCTCTTTATTGCACAGGGGAAGAGAATGACGTGTTGTTGTCCTGTGTGAGTGTTAGCTTTGAGTTGAATGAAGTTTTTGCCGTTGTTTGAATTTGTTGGCTACTACTGTCTGTGTTCAGAGCTGCTGGCTGCAGATGTATGGAGATTCGTTTCTGAGGATGTTTGGTAATTCTGATGATGCCTCGAACCACTGTTAAGTGTTGTAACAATCTCGAAAAAAAACTAGTTCTCCAATACTGGTCATTAACCCGTACTAGAAAACATCAAAGACTGCATTTACTCTCATGCAAATGTAGCTCTGTCTCGCAGACTTTTTGGAAAGCATTTTGGTCGAACAATTTTCTAATGTGTCTCATCATAATATGTATTGTACTGTTCATGTTATCACAAGTGTGGTGATGAAATAAAAAATTTCTCTGTCTCTTTCTCAGGTTAGAGTTGTCAAACACTTCTTTTAATCTGCTTATTAAAAAGTAGTGGGAACACTGCACAAACACAGAACAAGCGTAATGACATCACATGTGGCATTGACAAAGTATGTTTAATTCGTGGGTTTTCATGGAGAGGAATTGTGATGTAGTTGTAGCTAGCTCCAGGTCACATCAACTGCACATGACTATCCCATGTTGGGCAATGAGTTTTCTTCCTTCAAGAGATTCCATAACATAATCTTCATCCTACCAACTAAATTCTTCTAGGTATTTTCTATAAAAATGTCTGTTTGGCATGCATGTTTCATGTCAGTGTGAGCTGGTGTGTGTGTGTGTGTGTGTGTACATTATACTGTACAGATGACTGAGTTACTTTATAAGTTAATGTGATGTTATGAAAGCCACAAAGAGAGTGAACAACTTGCCAGTGCGAGTGGACAGGAGGATCACATATCTGATCCTGCAGTGTTTTTCTGCAGTGAAAGTCCTCTTTTTTTTTTCTATTTTGTCCCTGAAGAAGCCAGCGGGCTACTCTCTTTGATGAAAAGTCACTATGTTTCCTTAATGCAGTTTCAGGCTTGTATTGTCATGTTTTTTCCATATATTATTACAATAAAATTGTTTGTTTTTTAAAGAGCCTGCGATTTCATGTTTGTAAAGTATGCAATTGACCAGCTTTCTAAATTTTTTTCAAAAGATGTTCTCAGTTTGGTTATAGTCTTCTAAATTGTTTAGCAAGGACAAATTAAATGCATTTTTCTTTTTGTGCAGATTACAACGCTGCATATTGGTTTTGTGATTAGTGGTTTTTACACTTCTAATATCACATTGAAATTGAAGATATCATATAAATGTTGTTTCTTTTTTAAAATAAGAACTTTCAATGTGACCTTAAGTGTAGTACTTCTCGTACTTCTCTTGGTTGATGTTAGCTTGGTCTGGGGTTGAAAGTAATACCCACAATATGTCCTGCACTATTTGTTTTTATTTATTTTGCTCGGTTCATTTCGTTTGTTCTTTTCCATGATCGTATGAAGGTGCAATGAGAGAAGTAGACTATTATTGTTAATTTATTGGGAACATTTTTTTTTTTCGGTTTCTTTTCTTGTGCAGGTGTTCATGTCATTTGTAACTGTCATCATTTGATTTATACCCCAATTTTTGTTTTGTTTTGGGTTTTTTAAAGTCTCAGTGATTTGTTTTTCTGATTGTTATCCACTATTGTTTCCCCAAACCTTTATCAAGAATGGTGCAGAAGACCACTCTGCTTCTGGTGGAGGATCAGCAATCTTTCCTCCCTTTTCAAACCCTTTCTGCAAAATTTGTTCTTTCAAAATTCTTTTTGCAATGTGGAATTGATAAGAAAAAATATAATATTTTATAATATAATAATTTAGCTTTGTTAAATTTTTTTTTTCTTGCCTTCATTATCACTTTGCTTGAAAGTATGTAAATCATGAAAATAAATTTGCTGCTGAGCAAGGTATCAAACCCGTCATTACATTTGTGTCATAATAAATTTAGTTTAGCATTGGTGGTAGTTGTTTAATGCCAATTTTATCGACATTTCGCATTGTCACTAGTGTGAAACAGCATGAGGGCCCTTCATTTTGGTAAGATTTAAACTTAGTGTTTGTTACGATGTGTCTTTAGTCCAGACTTAAGTAAGATCGTACGTTTAACAGGTAATGTAAATAGATGCAGTTACCCCATCTGTACTCGCATTGCTTTTCTCTTGGTATTCTTTTTTGCCTTTTTCGACGTCCTGGAGTGCGTTCAATGACACCCCGTGCAATGTGCATGTCTGAGATTAAATACATGAATTTAAAAAAATTGTATTTGGTACCTAGTCAGATGATACATACTAGGTGGCTTACTGGTTAAGCTCTCCGACTCTCAACCGTAAGGTCGTCTATTCGAATCCCGTCAGGGGCCCAACGTTGTGTCCTTGGGAAAAGCACTTTACACAAATTTTCCTTTCTTCACCTGGGTGGGAATGTTTGTAGTGTTGGAGTGCTTAATTAGTTGCTTGCACTGCATGCTTCCCGGGAAGCTGAGAATGTTTCTGAATTTTCTATGGTCTGCTGGGGTAATATTATAGTGTGTAAAACGCATAGGTCTTGCTGTCAGTATTTATATGTACTATACAAATGCTCTTTATTATTATTATTTTTAGGTCTTATAGCTCTAAAGAGAGGCTAAGTGCCTGCTGAATGGTTTGAAGAAAAATTACCCAATTATATATACTATATAATAAACGGGTAGTGTTAAAGATGGAAGAGGGAAAAAGTTGGACGTAACGAGGCCGGAAAAAGCTGAGAAGACACATTAAAGTAATTGTGAAGTGACTGGACTGCACCTTTGTTGTGTGCTATTTCTCACAAAAGAGTGAGAGGGGTTGCACTTGCACCTCTTTCTAGTGTACCAGTGGTCTATTTATTGATTACCTCCCCCCCCCCCTTTTTTTTTTCCTCCTTTCCCTCAAGTGGTGATAATATGCTTGCCAAAATAAAAAAATATGATTGGGGGGGGGGGTGGTCAGGAAGTGGAAGACAAACACTTAAACAACAGTGATCAGGAAGACATACTCCTAAACAACAACTCAGTTGTGTATTTGCTCCTGAGAAATGTCACTTCCCTCCATGGCTCCAAAAAGGGTAGATCTACATAATGTATAAACTTACACTAGTGAGAGCTTTGTTATATATATATATTGCAGTTTCAGAACACTTTAAATATAGGCTACATGGTCTACATTGACAAGGCAAAATCAAAAGATCGTAGAAAAGCTTCAGTAAGCTCAGGGAATGAGATGAATAGAATATGTTTATTTATAAATTGGGTCTTCTATTAGAGGATCCAGGTTTTCTTGAACAAATGTCTAAGGAAGTTAATGAAGATCAGATGGACATACAGGGTCACCAACGAGGAAGTAGGCTATTAAGGAGAACAGGGCAGCGCCCAGTCTGAGTCAGAGATGAGGTGGGAAGAAGGCAGTGGCGATGGATTGGACATGCTCTCCGAAAGTCAAGCGGCTGCATAACAAGGAAAGTGTTGGATTGAAAGCCACAGGGTAAAAGATGAAGGGGGGGACCACGTGGAACCTGGAGAAAAATCACAGAAATTGATGTACAGAAAAGTGGGAAGACATGGAATAACATGAAGTGGCTAGCCCAGGATAGGGGAAGGTGGAAAACGTTTTTGTTCGTGGCATATATTCTGATCAGGGCGAGAAAGGCAATGATGATGATGGTGACTAGTGATGAAGGCTCTATCATACTCTATGGGTTTTACTCTTTGCGTTATCCTGACTGACGTTATAACGTGCTGAAACACTCTCAACTTCCTGGTAAGCATTCAGTGCTGCCTTTGTACAGGTGCTCAGCAAACACCAACACACAAGCAAGGTCTTTTTTGTGTGCCATTTTTTCCACGAGACCTGAGTACCCGTTCCTGCTTTGGTGACGTGAGGAAGACAAACACTTGAACAACAGTGATCAGGAAGACACAAGTTTGGTAGTGTCTTTCAGAGACACAATGTGGGGCCAGACAGGGATTCGAACCTGTAACTTTTTAATTGGGATGCTAACAGCCTATCATCAATGCTAACAATACTATCACTACTAGTGAGCACCACAGTGTCTTTTGTCGAGAGGACATACAATGAAAATCTTTGTTCATCACAAAAAGAGAAATTTGTCTTGGTCGTTTACTGCAATGGCAGTGGATGTTACAAAGGTTAAGTGCACTCACGCATACGCACAACAAGACAGGACATTTAGTGAATAGAGCTACATGTTATGTGCTGAAACAACTCCGCTCCGTAAAATTCTCTCTCTATCTCTCTCTCTCTCTCTCTCTCTCTCTCTCTCTCTCTCTCTCTCTCTCTCTTTCTCTCTCTCTCTCTCTCTCTCTCTCTCTCTCTCTCTCTCTCTCTCTCTTTCTCTCTCTCTCTCTCTCATTTGCAGCACTGTGAGTTCCTGGGGTATGGGCTCACAAGCAGAGCTGGTAGTAACGGAGACAAGTACTCCGGTACTTGTACTTACCTTACAATTTTCGGTACTTTTACTGTACTCCTGTACATTTTTTTTAAACCAGTACTTTTACTGTACTCCGATACTTTTTATACAAGTACTTTTGAGTATTTTTAAAGTACATTTTGAGAAATTTAGAAGCTTAGTGAAAGGGTAAGTGCCGGCATTTCTGATCATAATTTACGGAACAAACCCCCGGGCGGGCACAGCTGATCAACCAAGAGTTAAAAGTTGAGATCAAAGAACGGCCCGTCGCGTCAAAGATCAGCCACTATCGTGAATGTTGTGATCACAAGCGTGGTAAAACTCCATGAAACGGTACAGTGTTTGCTCCAGACGAGATCACACCAAGGTGTGAACTGACCGATGCGTTTCTTTTCCCCAAACATCGCACTCGCATCTGAGCTCACCACCTAAACTTACATCACTCACTGGGAGGGTTGGGCCTACAAGTTCGCTCCAGGCGGGATCACACCAAACTGTGAACTCTTCCCTAACCATTGAAAGCAGTTTTTCTCTATTCCCGAATTTGCGAGACAGCCTGAATTTTAATTGGTGCGGTCACAACGTAATGGTGCGTAAAACAGAGGCGGTTTTTTGTTTGTTTTTTGTTTGTTTGTTGTTGTTGTTGTTGTTTTTTGGGTTTTTTTTTTTGGGGGGGGGGCTCAATCAGAGATGGAAAGCTAAAATTGTTGGACAGGTGAAGGGGAGGGGCAACTGGATAAACGTAGATAAAGATCTCAAGACTCACGATAGGCTAATTAGTGTGTATTATTATTTAAGGCATACCTCATGCCACTGAGATTGGTCAACTCTTTGCTTGCCAAATGTTATAAATCCACCCAGGGCTCACGTCAGTTTATGGGTCACTGTAGATTTTTCCTTGGCTTCGTCGGCTAAGATCCCATATTTTCCTTGCTTCCGAGCACTGGGATTTTAGGCGGAGACTACTGTAGTAGATCATCTTTGGTTACACTACACTTACTAGACTCTAGGAAACTAATATTGTATTTTGGTTTGCCGTGGGTGCCGTGGACTGCACAGTGTGACCAAAATCTGTCTTACCTCTATAATCAATTGAAACTGAAACTGTGTTCTCAAAGTGTATCTAACATTTTTTTTAGGCCACCTAAATTTCTTTTAAACTTTTTTTGGGGTGGTTTTTGCTTAAGACAAGGCTACATTGATTGCTTGAGGATTTGTTGATGAAGAATTCAACGCACTTTTCCATTTCTATGCTGGCCATTTTCATCAATTTTATGTTTTCTTAAAAGCAACTTTGTATCTACAATTTTTCAATTTGGATACTTTTTCTGTAGAACTTTCCGACCTCTTGGACTGACTTACATTTGATCACATTGTCTTGCTCAAACAAGTTCTATTCTAGCACTTACCCACTAGTTGCGTCTGTTCGTTTGGGTTGGGTTTTTGTTTTTTAATTTCACAGACCATTTCCACCTTCGTTCAGAGCGTACATTGTGTATTCAAATGCTTTGTATACTGTTTACATGTTTAGTATAATACATAGCCAAATTTGTCAAATATACTGGATATGTTATTTAGTATGATGTTTTGCATAAGCGCTGAAGTGTTTTAGCATATTAGCAGAACGTACTCAAAATGTACTCTTAAGTACCTTTTAAAAACTACTTGTACTCAAGTACATTTTACAGGAAAGTACTTTTACTGTAGTTAGGTACATTTTTTAGATTGTACTTAAATTTGTACTTAAGCACTTTTTAAAAGTACTTTAACAACTCTGCTCACAAGTTTCTCACGTAGATGTTAGTTCAACTCATTACAGTTCCACAAGCATTCCTCAGGTCTACTCTACACGCCTTTGGTATCCCACATGTCTTATAGTGGCGAGGCGCTTCACCGCTGCGTACAGAAGACCCGAATTCGATTCCCAAGTGTGGAGAATTTTTATTGAGTATCTCAAGTCTCTCTGAAGGGATGCTGGATCCCTCTCAGTCTGAGTGACACTGACGGGCAGGGTCGAAGCGTACCTCCTAAATTATCTAAATTGTGTAGGCGTAAAAACACCGTCAATTTTAAAGAGAAAATAAACATCTTTGGTGTTGGAATCTAGGCTATCACTGTAACCAGCAAAATGCTCAATCTTACAGCAAACTCAGAAAGATTGTTATTTTTATTCTTTTTTATCTTTGTGTTGTAACAGATACCAACAAAGCATCACTTCAAACACATTTTGTCTAGGAGCTGGATTAGGCTATGTAGTCTGGAAAGTTGAACGCACCCAACTAAGAAACAATGAGCGCATAGGCATCTGTGTCAGTAGGGGAAACTGTGTCGTAAATTCAACTTTCATAACATTGTCAGGGCAAGGAGAGCGTGAGCCCTTAGTACAGTGTTCTTTTTTCTAGTATTTAACCTTTTTGAAGATTTTCATTAAAGACAGTCCGTGGGAAAGGGCTCCTCCTTTGCTGAGCCCTAAAGACATTTGATTGGCTGCTGGATTACTGTAGTAATAAAACAGCCGCCAAGTTGATAACTCTGTGTTCATTGCGTGCGGTCATAAAGGTTTCAACTGCTTTTTTCTATTATGAAGAAACTTTTATTTACTTTGGGATAGAGTTGGGGATGGTGGGTGGGGAGCTCAAGCCCGTGAGCCCTTCACTACCCGCCGCCTCTGCTTCTACTTCTGCTGTTTGTACTGTTGTTGCTGCTGCTGCTGCTGCTGCTGCTGCTGCTGCTGCTGCTGCTGCTGCTGCTGCTGCTGCTGCTGCTGCTGCTGCTGATGATGATGATGCTTCTACTACTACTACTACTACTACTACTACTACTACTACTACTACTACTACTACTACTACTACTACTACTACTGCTGCTGCTGCTGCTGCTGCTGCTGCTGCTGCTGCTGCTGCTACTACTACTACTACTACTACTACTACTTTAGTGACCTAGAAAAGCGTTTTTGTTTGCTTCTTCTTTCCTATCTCCCCATCTTCTATTTTTGTGCTTGTTACTCTCTTGTAACACCTCTAATCTTCGGCACTTATAATATAACCTTATTGTATTGCAAGTGCCGTAAAACGCTTACTAAAAACTTTTACCATAGGCTAATAAAAAAACTAATTTGAAAATTTAAGAAAGTCTTAGACAGCTCCTTGACAGAGAACAGACATAGCGGCGCCTTTTAGACTGATTTAGAGGTACATGTACCTGTAATGTATTTTTTTAAAACGTGTCTTTCTGTGCTGGCCTATTTATTCATCTCAGCTTTCGGCCAAATTTGAAGCGTTTCAGCGTTTCAGCGAACCAGGAATTCATTGTTCACGTGTACGATGACTGCAAATGTGTGTGTACCGTGTGTGTGTGTGTGTGTGGTGGTGGTGGGGGGGGGGGGGGGAGGGGGGGGGGCGATGTCAACTTTTTTTTTTCAATTAGCAATAACCACGCCTCGGTAAAACCTCATTGGCTATGGTACCGCCACTGCGCAAAGCTGATGTCGACTTAATTAACGATCAAGCACATCCGAATAAAATGTCCGGACCTTGAAGAGACCCGAAGGAAGTATAATAGCCCTATATTTTAAATGCACTAATTTAAAGAGTTTTTACTCCACTGTTGATCCCTTTCCAACCTTGCAAAGTAAAACTAAACTCTCTGGTAAAACCAAACCGTAGTATTAATTAATTAACGAGAAAAACGGTTAATCAGCTCAATTGAGTCCTGGTCGCTCATAATCACCTTACCATGAAGTAATTACGAGTGTAGTAAAACTCCTTACCAAACTAACAGACAAAGAAGGAAAGAAAAAGAACGGGCTCATATAGGCCGTCTGGTCATAATAATATAAATTATATAGAATAGTTTCACAGAAAATGTTAGAGAGCGGGATTTATTACAAGTGGTTCAAAGAGGATAGTAATTTTACGTGCTCCGAATTTTGTCTGTCCGTATCTGTCCCCCCCCCTCTCTCTCTCTCTGTCTCTCAACAAAGTTGGGGAAAGACGTTTTTACTTCGATGTTTGACCTCAGAAAGTATTGTAATTAGATCAACACCGTTTTAAGAATCATCACAATAATAATGTTCCTCGTGTTTTTATAAAATGATTAATGATTGTTTTACTCAACTTAAGTAGGATTTTCAATCCGAACTTTTAATGCACACATTTTGCCGGAAGTTTACATCCGTTGATATGGCCAATGGCCACTTGAGGCGAGTACAAATGACGGATGACTCTCTGAATGAAAGGGCGTAGAGTCAAGAGTATCTCTACTGTCTGGTAAGAGCAGCCGGGACCCGCTCTCGACAGGACTGAACAAGGAACGTTTGATGTAAAAAAAAAATATTTGGGAAGATTGAAGAATACCGGACCACTCGTACATTATTGCGCGAGAAAGTGGGTTGGTGGGGAGTGGGGCGGGTGGTTGGGGTGGGGGAGGGGGGGTTCAGGGGGGGTCCCCTGACAAAATTTTAATGAATAGATCGGTGCTTTTTCGGTAGTTCCCCCCCCCCCCCCCCCTTATTTGAGCCTGACCTACATCTAGATCTTGATATCTATACGTTTGATTCGCGGTGAGCTAAGATATCAAACCTAAACAACAGCAAAACATTAAATTGTGGTAAAATTCAGGGGGGCATGCCCCCCTGAAACCCCCGTTCCTATTTTTGTTAGGTCAGGGGGGCAAGCCCCCCTGAAACCCCCGTACTCTTGGGGCCAAAACCCGTGAATAACAATTGCGGGGTGGGAACTACCGAAAAAGCGCCAATAGATCTACCGGTCCGAGATTCTCCATTGAGAGATTGATTCTAGATTTTCTTCTTACTTTCTACTTTCTGTTCTCTAGCCTACTATTGACTCTATATTCTGGCCTATGAGCCTAGATCTATAGCCTCTTGATGTTATTCCATGTCTTCTCACTCCTCTGTACATTGATTTCGGAAGGAGTTCCACAAAGGGCCGGCTCTTACCGTGAAAAGGTCAACGGAGCAAACTATACTACGAGAGTTAGAAAGTGCACATCCAATTGATGACTTACATTTTGGTAAATTTGAGTGACTAGGCAAGCTAACTTCTTGGAGCAAAGCACATTTGACAGCTCCAGTCGAGGACAAATTCGGGTCATGTGGAATCTGCTAAAAATTCACGGCTGAACTTTAAACTTTTACAGGGGAGGTGAAGACGTGTAGATCTACTTCCAAACCATTGAATCCCTCTTCGTCTCAGGGGCCGTTGGTGAAGAAACTCATGCCCACAGTTTTCTGGGATGCTAAAGGTGTTCTGCTTCTTGACATTCTGGAATCAGGACAAACTGTTAATGCTAACAGATACTGCCAGACTCTTGATAAGTTGAGAGAGGTTGTGCGCCGAAAAAGACCAGGCCGGTTGTCCAGTGGGGTCATTTTGCAGCATGACAACGCAACGCCAGACACCGCAAACGCTTCGAAAGACTGTATCCAAAGGTTCGGCTGGGAAGTTCTGCCACACCCCCCTCACAGTCCTGACTTGGCCCTGTCAGATTATCACCTTTTTGGACCAATGAAACGCCATATGTCTGGACAGTGATTCACCGACAACGAAGACCTTGTGGAAGCTGTGAAAGATTGGTTGAAATCCCTTTACGAAAAATTCTTCAGGGAGGGTGTCTTCTCTTCTCCCTAATCCAGCGATGGGGAAAATGCGTCCAGCAGGAGCCTAGGTGATTACATTGAGAAATAAAGCACATCATAGCACATGTTGAGGTATGATTCATACATTTTTATTATAATAGGACAAAGATTGTTGCTTTTATGGACCTTTTCTGGTTTTCCGTGAGACAGCCCCTTGCAGCTATTTTATTTTTAACCAAACTAATATTATGGTCTTACCAATCACACCTTTCATCAAGTGTTCTATAAAATGACCGTCTCCATTCAACCTTGCCCCTTGTGACGAGATGACTGTGTGACGAAATCACTGGTATTCGGGGGGTCTCCCCCTTGTTAAAGCCACAAACATAATATTTATGTAGGTAGCGTAAACACGGCCTCGCAGGCACTCGCGGCCTTCCGACCGCGTGGTATCGGTGAAATCGGGGTAATTCCAATCGCTGTTTCTTTGCTCTTTCTCTATAAAACACCAAGTGCCGTACACCTTGTAAAAGTTCAGCTTTTCCTCGTTACAATGGTGTAAGTTGTTTTTATGTCCGATTAGTAGGAGCTGGAGAATCGCCCACGAAAGCGAAGCCCCTCACGGTCGGAATGCGTGGTCGGCCGGTTGAAAAATTGACACGGGTGCATTCAAATGCTTCGCGGAACGAGGAATGATTAAATACCGTCTTTTCATTGGCGGAGAACTGTAGAGCTTTACACGGGCTTTCCCGTGGTGATTTGCCTTTGGCGTCTAAATAGAAAGCTTTTAAAAATACTGTCAAAATGTTTAAAGATCACTTTTTACCCATAATATGTAAAATACCGGCTTAAAAATATATATTTAATAAAAGATCAGCTATTTCCTATTAGAATAAAGTAATCTGCTTGGAATTATTTTCATCAATCCTTCCGCGAGACTCAGAAAGCATGTGACCCCGCACGCGGGGTACACTACAGTATAGAGCCGACTCGCTCGCCGCGGGGTCCGGTGCGGCGCCGGTCGGGTCAACGCTCGGTGTTTTTGTCGAAATAACAACAGATCATCGTGTTTGAGGCGATAAAGTACTGATTTGTAATGATCTCACAGTCTTGAAAAAAATTAGGCTCCATATATTTGTTATAGTGATTGTACTCTGTTAATGTGGAGACGTTTAGTGCTCTTGGTTGCAGCCAGTGACTGACTTTAACAAATTTGATCAAATTTTAAACAAAACTACCATTTTCTTAAAAATTGACTGAGAGGTTAAAGAATGGTACCAAAATGCTCAGTGGATATAGGCCTTTCAAATGGAACTGATAAATTTGGCATACAACTACTTTGAAAATTTAGTTTCTGGTACCTAATTTATGTATATGCTAAATACTGAACCAAACTTTTTTTGTATACCCGCTCAAAATATCCCCTCTTTTGTGTGTTGTTGGTCGGCCGACTCTCTGAGGAACTCCTTCCGATTTCTGTGATTCTTCTCCAGGTTCCACGCAGTCTTCCCCTTGATCTTTTGCCCTGGATGTAAATGTTGGTAACATTTTAATGTTTCAAATGAAATGGTGCGTGAGGTTCTCATGCGCGAGAGCTTGAATTAGGAGAGTTTGTGGGAGTCTTAAATCAAACTTACAATGAAAAATGCATTGCAACTACACTACACAACTTGTACTATATTATGAATATTATAATAAAGTAAACAATATATATGATGTAGATAATGTAAAATGGACTAAAAATAGTAATTTGATTTGTGAATTATTGACAATATTGATAATGATAAATTAAATTTTTATCATTATATTAAAATATGCACCTCCACCTTGCCTCTTGCAGACTCAAGATGTCCTCGAACAGGAGTGAGCCATGGCTGGTACCGCTGAATGAAACTGTCATCATCGGGTACTCTGATATAGCAGCAGCTGGGAGGTCAGCACTAACAACTTTGTATTGTAAGACATCTTGTCTAAAACTTAAGTTGGTGGGGAATACACAACATATGTTCATCATCATCATCATTGTTTTTCTCACCTTGCAACAGGGTATAGGCCACGGACAAACACCTTCCACCTTTCTCTAACCTGGGCTAGCCTCTTGATGTTATTCCATGTCTTCCCACTTTTCTGTACATCAATTTCTGTGATTCTTCTCCAAGTTCCTCCCGGTCTTCCCCTTGATCTCTTACCCTGTGGGTTCCAATCCAAAACTTTCTTTACAATATATGTTGCACTTAAACAAATACCTTTCTTATTACTTTGCCAGTTTCCTTTGGGCTTTTCAAACCACTGGCTGAAGCATGGTGTAAAAAAACATTTTCTTTAGTGAGAATTCTGTATGCAGACATAGATATGGGAGACTCTTTTGCTTATAATCTCTTAATGCTTTGAACCATATAAATAAGCCTTCATAGTCTTGGCACATCTGAGCTCCTAAAGAAAAACTCCTTATTAGGTGTCATGCTGAATAACTGTGGGGATGATCATAGTTGAATTCACAAAGGCTGTTCTTATTCTTGGAATGTTTGAAGATTTTTCAATTTTTTTTACCCACTTAGCTTGGTTCTATGAGAGACGAACATTACATTAGGAGGTCCCACTTCTTATATGACTTCATTGGGAAATAAGGGTGTTGAACCAATACTATCGTAATCTCCTCATAGCTAGGCATGTACTTAGGCCAATAGATCTAGATAGATGTTAAAACTATGAACCTCAGATACAAAAAACTCAGATTAACTATAAACTGGAGCTTTATGAAAGAGAAATTAATGATTTCCCATTAAAAAATATTAATTTTATAATAAACCGTATATTCAATGAACATAACTCTGACCCAACAAAGTGGTTACAATCCTGCAGGGAGAACAGTACTGCCCTCGCTGACGTGGCTTCGCTCATTTTTCTCTAGCAATAAACCTTATCTGCTCTATTCCATGAGACCATAGATCACCTTGCACTGTATCACTACCTGCCTGGCCTGTTATTGCATATCATGCACTGTAGGCTATATTACGATTGACATCTATATATTCTTGCAGAGGCACTCGGCCATCTTTTATGCGACCAATCAGATGCCTACTTTCAGTCACACAGACACATGAGTTGTTGATACTCTCTGGACATGTTTTTTTAATGTGTGCTAGGGTTATGAGAGGTCGGATAGGCAATATGGTATGGCATTCAAGAAAAGCAAATATCTCTTGTTTGAAATCAACTTTCTTATTCATTTGCATTGCTTTCTATGAAAAAGGTACCCATCTGTCTTGAATAAAAGTCAAGATATTTGTGATTGAAGGAGGTGAGGTCATCTGGTTTCAATGGTGAAATTAGCAAGAATAAAATGCCTGCCAAAGTTTGTTAACTCCAATAGCAAAACAGTCCTTGAAAACTGAAAAATGACATATTTTGTTTCTTTAATCAATGCTTTTCAGTAAATTCCACATGGAAAAAAGGTTGAGTCAAAAAGCAAAAGTTTGATGAAAATTGTCTAACTGCCGGAAAAATGCCTGTTTCTCCAATTTTGTTACTTTGATGAGCACCTGATTTCCCCACAATGCATCACAAATTTCTTTGACATGTTTTTTGTTTTCTCTTGTGATAGCCGGGCTCTGCTGGGACTCTCAGACCTTAGAGAGCAGCTGGTGTTTGAGATCCCTCAACTTCCCAATGCAAAACCGTGCTGTGTGTTGGATCCCAAAGCAGCAGCAGCTTCAAACAAGGGAAAGAAGACTCAAGAAAAACCTCTGGGACCTTTTATAGTGTACAATTGTAAAAACCATGCTCGGGTGAGTCACATACTGCATTATGCGTCGTTTTCCCACAGTCGGATGCTTGTAATGGTTTAGGTTTTAGGAAATAAACTGATTTACGTACTTTGCTCTAAATAATTGTTTACATTTTATGTCAGCAAGTTAATTGGCTAGAGACTTCAGCATGTTCTTGATCTTGTTTGTGTCTAACCAGTCTGATGAAACTGTGTTGTCATAAAAGTTAGTTAGCATGGTGTGCGCCAATTAAAAACAAACAAAGAAAAAAAAGTGGTTTTTTTTGGCTAAGATGATGAGTGGAAAAAGTAAGAACCAGAAGCTTTCCTGTATCCCTGAGAAAGGTCAAATATTTCACTTTCTCTTCATAGAGAAGTTTAAGCAACTTTCACCTTTCCATTTAATCTTATTTATGCAGAGTTCAATAGAGTGTTGATGATTTCATGCGTTTCCTGATGATTCATACAATATGAAATTAAATAAGCAACAGATTTTATTATGTTTTTTTTTAATGCAGCAAAAGGTGAGGAAATATTTTAGTATTTTGTTTGCACATTGCACAGCACCATATTTTACCACATCTTTCATTCTGTAATATTAGGTTTGTGATTTGATATTTACTGTCGTGAGAAAAGTTGTTCCAGTGGGCAATATCAGCACAACAGAATGTTTTATGATCATGAAAGACCGGACTAATGATAGACTTTAGTGTGATTCTTATGGCCTGTAAAGGTAAAATATTGACAGTATTGTAGAAGACAGTAAATGTGGCAGATGATTGAAATCAGCTGAGGTTTCCATTGTCATTGTTGCCAAAGAAAGTGGAGGTTAAGCCTAAAACTTGAAATATTCATTTTGTTTATTTATCTTTGTTTCGTCAGATGATATACTGACATTTTTTCATAGAAAGCATACAGTATAACACGGATAGGTCGAGCACAGAAGACTCGAAGTTTGCATCAGCCGAACTGTGTCTGCGGCCCCATTTATTTCCCTTCTTTATCTTTGTAAGAAAGTTACGCGAAGCTTGAACACAAACACGGAATAGTCTAACTAATTATGCTGCCGTGGAGTTCTAAAGTCTTTTGAGGTGCACTTGACTTGAGACAAAATAATAATAAGAATAATAATTTAAAAAACGAATAAAGGCAAGGCCGGTAAAATACCACCATCCCCCCTCCACAGAAGCAGCTAGCTGTGCTATGCCCCAGGCCTAGCTACGCTTGTGTGGAGTGGGCGAGAGGAAGGCTTGTGCATCACACAATCGGCCGCCCCAACCCAGTTTGCGCTTCATGGGAGAGGCGGGGTAATGCTGCATTATTTCATCTTCGCGTTGTTGATAACTGTTGGGATATGCTTATCCTATCAAATTGTTTAATTTTTGAAAAAAGTTTGGAAAGGCACCATTCGATGGATGCAGACGAAAGACCGCTCTCACTGACCTGCGCAATTAAACTGTCTTGGTACCGGTAGACTCATTACCTGTTGAACTCGAAAGCACTGCTCATCGTGTTTCTCATTCTCAATCTGTCCTTTTCAAATTCTCTTTGTTGCTTCCCTTGAATCTCTGGCACACCCGATGCCATGACACAGTTCACGTATCCCTCGAACTACTGAAGCAGGTCCCAACGAATTTGAGCTATCTGTGTTATACTGTACTTTAGTAAGAACTATTGTTCATTGTGTTGGCACTGTGAATTAAAAAAAAAAATGTTTTGAACTGACAGTAACAGGAGCACATTTCTTTAATTGCAGTGAGTGTTGTGTCGGTTGCATGAGCACATATAGGTAAATATATTACGTTTATTTCTACCTTTGTACAGTTGTTTTGTTTTGCTACAGTAATTACTGTGTCTGAACTTGTTGCGTTCTTTGTTATTTAACCCAACAAACCACCTGTACATTTAATCAAGTAAGAGCAGATGGTTGGTGGGTGCTGTGGTGTGGTTTGCTTCTTCTTTCCTATCAAACATCTATTATCCTTATCTTCCCTTATTCTTTATTTTGTGTTTTTTACTCTCTTGTAGCACCTCTAATCTTCGGCACTTCTATGGCCAAATTGTGTTGCAAGTGCCATAGAACTCTTACTAAACCCCCCCCTCCCAAAAAAATTTTTTTAAAAAAATCCACAGTTAAATAAGAATGTTGAATGCCCATGGTCAGGCTTTACACTTGAAGTGTTGAAGAGTGGGTGGCCTCTGGACTAACATGTGACAGCAACAAAATACGACTTCTTTACTACGCTTCATTTGTTTCTGTCCTATCAAACATCTATCAATACTATCCTCCTTATCTTTTCTCCTTCTTTTTTTGTGTGTATGTCACCCTCTAGTAACATTTCTAATCTTCGGCACTTTTATGACCTTATTGTGCTGCAAGTGCTGTTAAACTCTTATTAAACTTAACTAAGTTTCTCTCTGTCTATCTTGCTTTTTCCCCCACCACAAAACGATGTGTTGATGTGCCTCTATTTAATCTGACAAACTGCATAGACATTATTTTGATAATTCAAAGGTGATGTAATGTTCTCAATTCTTTGGCTCCATCCTTCCTTCTCTGTACTCTGATTCTCTCCTTCCTTTTCTGTACTCTGATTCCCTCCTTCCTTCTCTGTACTCTGACTCCCTCCTCCCTTTTCTGTTCTCTGACTCTCTCCTTCCTTCTCTGTTCTCTCTCTCAGTGTTTTGCTCAGCTTCGAGTCTGTCCTTGCTGTGATGTTGGCCTGTCATATTGTTTGCTCCCCTGCCTCTCCTTCTCAAGATATGTGAATTATCAAACTCTGGATTTAAGCATTAAGAAAAGCTGGATTGGGTTACATTAATCTTTATGATAGATTCCCTCAAAGGGCAGTGGTGGTCCCTTATTTGGAATTCCCTGCCAGATTGTAACTAATCGTTCTTCGTATAAATATTTAAAAGAAATTTGTTCTGTCGGTCAAGATTTTTGCGTTAATTGAAAACCGTACCTTACTTAAATTGTCCAGAATGTGCCTTGTACATTTACTGTCATTGAAATCTCATCATTAGTTTGGTTTGTATAATAACTAACACTTGAACGGTCCCCCCCAAAAATTTTGAGCTGTTGTAGTAGGGTTTCTTTTTAATAGTGTTCGAAGATATTGTGAGGGCGAAAATGGAAGTTTTGCTTGGCTTCATACATTGCTGCCAATAGGAAAATTAGTTACTCCAGTGTCTTGTAATTATTCTCGTAAAGCAAAGTCAAACTGAGTTTTGGGAATTCATAAATCTTGTGACAGCAATATTTAAAGTGGGTTTTTTTTTCCCTCTTAGAAAAGTTTAACTTGAAATATTGTTAAAAGGAAAAAAAAGTTTGTAAAAATGCACAGCCAATATTGTGTGTCATAATATGGTTTATTACAGTATTCCTTAGTAGTTCTGAACTGCCACATCCCAGCTGCATGCAGCCACTCTGTAGTGAAGTACCTGGTGGAAGCTTGTCGGACCAGGTGAGTGATCTTTAGGTGGGCGTGCAGCCTATGTAATTGTCACATTTTGTGAATATGTATGATTGTATAGAGAGGTTTAACGCTCCTTTGCATTACTCTAAGATTATTTAGGAGACGGGACCTCCAACTCCAATGAATAAAACGTCCATTTTTGAAATGACTGAGTCAAATAGGAAAAAATTAGTGTAAAATGCCTTTCTCAATAACACTACATCAGACAGAACTGAAGTGTGGCCCTCCTGAATCCACAATTTCACAATTATGGGTCCTGTATCCTAACCTCTTTTGTAGACACAAATCTGAGCGAAGCTCAGTTTGGATTCCAAAAGGGAAGAGGATGCACTGATGCTGTATTCGCATTAAGACAGATATATGCAAGAAAACAATCGAACACATGAAAGAATCCAACATCGTCTTTATTGACCAGGAGAAGGCTTTTGATAGAGTAAACTATGCAAAACTCTGGAAGACACTCGATAAGTATGGCGTCAGAGGACAAATGTTAATGTCAAAGCTCTATACATCAACAGCAGAAGCTCAGTAAGAACGAAGGAAGACAATACAGACTGTTTCAAAGTAAGATCTAGAGTATGACAGGGATGTGTTCTATCTACCCTCCTGTTTATAATATATATGGACACAATAACGGAAGACGCAAACCAGATCCCAGAAAGCCTAAATGAACTTTGCAGACGACAAATATCTTATTAATCCAAACCAACAAAGCCTCCAACATCATACTACTGAACTGAACAAAATCTGCGAGAAATTTAACATGAAAATAAGCACATCAAAAACAGAAGTTATGAAAGTGAGCTGAAACCATAGTGCTCTGAATATCCATGTCAATGGTAAACAACTGAAACAGGTGAAGGAGTTTAAATATCTTTGCAGTACTTTTTCTGAAAACGGGTCCATAGACAGAGACATAGAAATGCAAACTCAAAAAAAAAAGCCAATGCTTTCACCTACCAGCGCGCACCCCTCCTATCTCATCCAAATATCTCCATGGACACAAAGAGACAGTTTATCATCTCAATATTCATACCAACGTTATGCTACCAGTGTCCAGTCCTGGACATTAAGTAAAACCCAGGGAAGCAAAATCACTTGTGCGAAAGTACTCTAGAATATCCGTGAGTGAATTTATGCTTGGATCATGATTTTTATTTCTCAGTTCTTAAACAAGTATTTCTAATGTGCCATTTCTGATATATTTGTGTTTATGCAGACACATTCTCACACACACACACGCGTGCGCGTGCACACACACACATGAGAGCACACACACACACGCAAACACTCACACACACACACACACACACACACACACACACACACACACACACACACACACACACACACACACACACACACACACACACACACACACAAAAAAGCACACACACACACTCAAAAAAGCACACACACACGCACACACACACACACTCACACACACTCAAAAAAGCACACACACACACTCAAAAAAGCACACACACACGCACACACACACACACACACACTCACACACACACACACACACACACACACACTCAGAAATCAAACGCACACGCACACACACACACACACACTAAAAAAACACGCACACTTAGAAAATTCAAAAAGTAGACGCACACATGTACACACACACAGATACAAAAATTTTTTGGGGAAAGGACATTTTATAGTCAAGGGTTTGGTGGAAGTGCACAAAATGTGGTATGTACCGGTATTTTGAACAAAGTTCCTTTTGATGCTGTGCTGTGAATCACTTTGTTGCTCCGTACACTTTTTAAACTCAGCACTGGAATCCTAACTCTTTCTGCAGCCTTTCTACTGCTACTCCTTGGCTCCTTCTTACTGCTGTCTTTTAGCCACACCCCTGGTCTTATGGTATGCAAAATCTAACTCCTAGCCTTCTCGGATAAGGGTGAAAACTCTCAGCAATCCTGTGTGCAAGTTGCACCTGTTAAGGATCCCTTGATGGTCCCAAATCGATAAGAGTAGGCTTCGGTTGCCCCCCGGGCAAAGTTCAAAGTTTTCTACCAAACTGAAAATGTTTAATGTTTCCTGTGCGCTCATATGACCTTATGCAATTGCGAGCGCTGTAAAACACTTACCTAATAAAAAAACCCAAACACCCTCCCCCCCCTCCCCCTAAAAAAACCCCAATGCAACTCAGCGCTGCAATCCTTTTGAAAGATAACCTGTCAAAGAACTTCTCTGCTGTGCCCTTATGACTCTTGTATAAAATTAATTGTGCTGGTTTGTTTTTTTCCTTCTCTTCAGTTTGCCTTTTTTATTTGCTTTTCTATCCTTATAAGTTAAATGAAAATGGTATTTTTTCGTTCTGCTTATGTGTCTACTAAAGAATACAGGATTATTTTTTTTCTACAGTACCGTATGTTACTAATCTATTTCAGTTTTGCTCGGCGTGTTTTTCTCCTATCTGGCCAGCATTTTGACCTGCCTGAAGGCCCACTCAGACCTCTCTATGATAACTGCTGGAATGGCATGGGCCCTGGTGAGGTATATTGATAACCCAAAATGAATTGAGAAGTGAAAGGGTGTGTTTGAGTGAGGGGAGGGCTATATCGGAGTATGCGTTCTTATGAAATATATGATGTTCATTCATCTTAAATTGATATTGATAGCCCAAAGTGAATTGGGAGGTGAAAGAGTGCGTTTGTGTGTTTGAGTGAGAGGAGGATGTCAGAGAAAGAAAAGAGAGAGTTGTGCCTTTGCCATCCTATATATCGGAGTGTGCATGCTTATGTCACATATGTGTCATGATGCGGTGGAACCAGGCGCTCGTCAGTTTTTGGGAATCTGGAGTTATTGATATCATATCAAGGCAGGTTCAATTGTCTTGCTTTCAATTAAAAAATACTCATCTATCTCAAGACATTTGAGATTGAAGGTAAAATTAGCGAGAAAATGGTTATCAAAGTGAGGTAACTTCCAAAGCTTAAGAGTCCTCGGAAATTGTAAAATTGCAATTTTTTTGGCCTTTAATCAACGTTTTTCAGTAAAATTCACGTGGGAATGTGTTTTTAAATTAACATGAAAGGTGTTGAGCCAAAACACAAAATTTCGATTAAAAAATTGCCAAAATGAGCGGCAGAATGCCAGTTTCTTCAATTTCAGTATTTTGACGAGGGCCTGATTTCACCAGCCTACCACACATACATGTTGTTCATTGATCATAAATCACTATCATGTACATGCCCCAAATCACTATCATGTACATGCCCCTACACAGAACTTTTTGGGAACTTTGAAAGACCGAAATATTAGAAAGAATTGTGAGAGGACTAATTAGTGTCTGATTAATGCAAGGACTCTGGCTCAAAAATACTTAAATCATGGGGCCACAATGTTCATGCTGTCAATCATTTTTTAAAAATGTCTTATTATGTTGAAAAAATTTGGTTGAGAATTTTGATTTCGTCTATGCAATGATTTGTTAAATTCTTGCTGGAGGATATTAGAGCATTTAACTCATGAGCCAACAACCATTGCAGCCTGACAGTTTTGTGGTATATTGAATCATTGACCACAAAAAGACTGTTAAAGCCATCATAATTTCTAAAATGCAGCAAAAGAAAGAAATAAATGCTCTCACACTCACAGACAAAGAAAACTGCTTCCTATTTTTCAGAATAGTTTCTATTTTATCATTATTTTGAAATGGCAATGTCTGGGGGTTGTGCATTTTTTTTTGCTCTCAATTTATAATAAAATCATCTATCGCAATGCAGGGATGTCAGACTTAGTTCTTTGCAGTTAATAAAGTATTGTACATAGCGACACCAAATTATTAACAAAACGAAACAAGTGGGTCATCTGATGGCTCACCACTTCCCACCACTTGTCACAAAAAAACACCGGAGATATCGATTGATAAAGCGGATCCCGTAAATACAAGCAATTAGGCCACCGAGCTGGCAGCGTGTCCCGTAAATACACGGGAGTAGGCTGAAGTGAGTTAAAAAGTTGGGTTAGGTTATTTTGATTTTATTTGTACAAACAGAATTTTGAGCATGATGAGTTTTTGTCATGTGAAATCTGCTCAATGATATTTTCTTTATCTATAACATATTGATGTTGATCTAATATGAGTTATAGACCTTTGAGAGATATACTGATGTTTATTTAAAGATTTTTATTGACATTTTCAGGTACAGCTTGCCCTGTACTGTCGAGGGATGTGAAGTTGTACGATGCTTTTTTGTCAAACTTTATTCAGATGTTTATGGTGAGTCATGGTATGGTGAATGTATCATAATTACCACTGAGTGCAGACAGCCCAAATTTAGCTGTGAAAAGCATGAATTTAAAAATGATCTAAAATTTCATTCCAAACTGCCGAATTGGATTTCAATGTTAAAAGATTGCTCTGCAGACATGTGACTTTAATGGGTGAGGTCACCTTGGGTCGGTATAAACAGGTGAAAGAGTGCATATTTTTTTGTGTACCTTCTTGAACTTGGACTGGTTGGGGTGGTGGTTGGCAGGGGGGGGTTTGCCACTTCTAGGAAGTGGGCTGGACAAACAAATCAGAGCTACATTTGAGCTGTGGCAGAAATGCATTCAACCTACTTTCAGTGAAAATTAGAGCCATAGACCTGTTTGTCTACATTCACATTGTCAAAGTCATTTTTACTCGATTGCGCATCGGACACACGGCCCTGACCCACAAATACCTCCTACAGGGAGATAAGAAGCCGTTCTGTGTCGGATGCAACACAGATTTTACCATTAGACACATCTTAACCGAATGTCTAGACTTTGGAGAGATCCGAAGGAAATATGATAAATTCAAGAAATTGCAAGACATTTTTTCCGTTGTTGGTCCCAGCAAAATTTTTAATTTTATGAAGGCCATTGGCCTTTATGGCAAATTGTAAAGTGAAATCGTACTATTTAAAAAAATGTTTTGTTACTTATAAGAGTTGTTTTAAATCGCAAATATATTTACACTGAATTTTAATGTTTTAGCATTTTAAAGTCTAATAGTTAACCAATCGTGCAGTGAACTTTTGCGAAAGTAAACAGCTTGTGTTTTGCGCGCTCATTTGACCGTACGCAGTTGCGAGCGCCGTAAAACCGTATACTACTACTACTACAAAGTCTTTCAGATTAACATTGCAAAATTGAAAAAAAAATCAGTATTTTGGTTGTCAAATGTAGTAGGGTTTAAAAGGTTGTAGGTGATGGAATACTATAATCATAACAATGTGTGTAAACCTCATTTGACCATATATCTGGCTGCAGTTCAAGTTTTATCGCATTATATGATAACAACAAAAAGATATAGTTGTAAAGAAATGATATGCTGTTTATTTATCATTGTGTTTTTAACAGGGTTTTGACCCTACAATAAAGACTCGAGTTCACATATAAGTGCTCTCCACTTTTACCTTGTGCACAGAGACTGCAGGCCTCAGAATATGCTGGTACACGTGTAACGTCCAGTGCCCACAGGCACAATCGGTTCTGTCCGGTTCGCTCGTCAGATTGAGGGCGCATAGCAGCTATTGTGGCACAAACCGATTGCCCAACTTCTCACCTAAAAAACTAATGCGTTTGTTTTCAGGCGATGAGTTGGGCGATTGGTTGGCGATCGGTTTGTCGTTCCCCCAATGGGCACTTGGTATAAGGGAGCGCAAGTGCATGAGTCCTGTAAGCTGGGGGGTGGGGGTGGGAGGAGGAGATTTGAGGATTTAAGATATTTCCACTCTCCCCCTTTTCTCCCTTTCTCCACCCCCAACTTCCTTTTGTGTGACTGGAGCCCGTTAAGTTATGACCTTTCATATTTCAGATTGACGGCACGCCTTTCTCAACTCTGATTGCTCTGTGCAACAAGGCAGAGGCTGGACATGCTTCAGAAATAGATGGGTCTCTTGATGTGAGTATGGTCAAAAACTTTCTCATTTTTTCTAGTCTTAGATATTTGAGTTTTCTTTAATCATTCCAAAGAAAATAAAAGGAAAATAGGATCTCAACTGGAGCTATTATTTAGACATACCACTTTTATGCATGTTTATTCTATGTCCTATCCATTGTTATACTTACTTCAGTGGAGTCCTCTAAAAACAAAGACTTTCAATCCAGAACAGCAGTAAATCAAAAGAAAATAAAACCCCAGATTTGTTCCTTCTATTTGAGCAACCTTTCTAAACTTACTACGCGATTAAATGGAAGAAAATCTGACAGCCCCGCGGATTTCGGTTTATGTGAACTCTACTGTATACATGAGACTGGTTTGACAGATCGCTACCTCAGAATTACCAAGTTCTATCTGACATATTTGGCTGTTTAGAGTTACTAATACAATGAGTTCAGAAACCAAATGTTCTCTCTGCTTTATCAAAATCGTAAGATTATTCTGAGTCGTTATCAAGATATTCAAAGAATTGCTTTCGAAAAAGCTTGACGTGATATGAAACTCAAAATCTTTGACGTCAAATTTCTCAAAACTAGGTCCTGAGCAAATAGAGCTTTGTAATTCTGAAGTAACAAGATGTTGTGAATGTTTTTATTCCTCAGGTCATCGAGATGTATCAGGAACACCTGAGTGAAATTACTGGTCTGAGGTTTAGCTTGGCTACTAGTAAGTCTCTGGTAAGTTTTCACACACACTATATTTTCCTCTGCTTGTGTTCCTTCTCATTAATTGACACGAGAGTTATTTCCAACCTACCAACTTAATTTGTTTAAGTTTAATTTTAATAAAGAGTTGTACTGTACTTGCAACACAATAAGGTCATATAAGTGCCGAAGAATAGATGTGTTACCAGAGAGTAACATACATAAAAAAGGAGTAGAGGTAAGGATGATAGATGTTTGATAGGAAAGAAGGAGCAAACCACACTAGAGCACCCACCAACCTACCACACTTGATTTGTGGATAGTGGTTATCATCAGGGCTGGAACAGATTGATGGCCATTTAATTTTACAGTGATATTGGTGATATTGTTGAAGGTGCAATATAATAATACTAGCTGGGCCCCCTTTCGATGAAAGGTATGATCGGTGTATTAACATCAACTGAAAGTCATTGGCCTATTATATTTACACTCTGCTGGAATGGAGAAATAAATCTTGAGAGATGCAAAAAATTAGAAGGTCTAGATCTCAAAACAAAATGCGCCTCGTGAAATATCACTTCCTGCACTTCCGCTGTGAAGGACAGCTGTGCAGATTTGTTTCGTTTCTCAGTGGAATAATCACAAAGACCAAAGAAGGACAGGAACTTTTTGTCAGATATATTTTTCTAAATTCAGGAAATGATTAAATAAAAAATCGGACTCCATCATGGGGACCTATCTACCTTTTTGCAGGTACTTGCCAACTTTCAACTCTGTAGTTGTTGTAGTTTAATGGGAAAAGTGACACATGTGTGTCCAAGTTGCTAAATATATAATAGATAATAATGTAAATGGTGCCTTTACTAGTGTACTTGTCTTGTCCTGTTATGCTTGCCAATGTGGTTGATTCAACCAAAGTTTGCCAGGAAAAGATCAGTTGCAGAGAATGAAAGAAAAGGATTTGAAATTTTGTTCTTGGTTGCTTTATCTAGTTTCTCATTAAAACCAAGTAGTTCAAATTTAAGTTAAACTTTGTGTTTCCCGGGAAGCTGAGAATGTTTTTGAGTGTTCTATGGTCTGCTGGGGTAATAATATAGAGTAAAGCGCACAGAGCTTGCTGTCGAGTAGGATATGTGTTATACAAATGCTATTTATTATAAACTAAGTAAGTAAAAAAGAAAAATGGAGGAAAAGGACAGACACTAGGACACGTAAATTCCCATTTGTATTATATCTGAGCAGAATATCAACACAATTTACCCCATGTAAGAGTTGGGCTGCTTTTTTCTTTTGCAAAATGTAGATTCTTTTATCCCTATCAACAGAATTTAAACATTTAACATACTGTCGGAGCCATCCCTGGCTGAGAGGGATGCAGCATCCCAGGGGAATGACCGAGATACCTGATAAAAATTTTCTCTCGTCCCCCCTCAGAAATCGAACTTAGATCTCCTGCATGCCACAGCAAAGAGTCTAACAGCTACTCAACAGATGCCATTTTGTTTTAGTTTTAATAAAAGTTTTACGGCACTTGCAACACAATAAGGTCGCAGAGTAGCATACATGAAAAGGAAGAAGAGATAAGAGTGACGATATGCGTGACAGATATTTGATGAAAGAAGGAGCAAATCATACTAGAACACCTGCCAACCACCCGCATGCAGGTTGGGCTGCTTTGACCCAGTGTATCAGGGCCAACTGTGTGGAATACAACATCCCAGCAGACAGAATGAGATGTGCTATCAGAACAGTAACAAAACTTCTCTCAGGAATTACACTCAGCGCTCATATGATCTTATGCAGTTGCGAGCGCCGTAAAAACTTACCAAAACTAAAACTGACATTCTTCTGCCTACTACAGCTACGGTGAAGAGCCTAAACATTACACCACGCATAAGTACAAATTACAAAAAATTTGATATTATTTTCAGGTCTATGATGGCAACCCTGGAGAGAATGCAGACATGGTAGCCATGATTTACGTGTGACACAGCACCAAAGGGCATCAGTAAATACAGACATCAACATAAGTTAAGGACCACCTTAACAGACAGCCCTGTTTGTTTTTTTTAAAAAAGAAAAAAAGACAGCAAGGAATGTTTCAAATTTTGTTTGCTGTGAAAGTGTTAATGGGTTACCAATGCGTACTGCAGAGCTTCCTAAATGGGCAAAACCACCACGTGCAGCACGGAAATCCTCGGGGAATTTTAGTTAAATTTGCTTATTTTTTATCGACTTGTGTGCGACACCACGGACATTCCACTGTTAATTAAAATTTTTGGTGCTCGTCATGAACGGACGTACGGTCTTGAACTGTGCTCACTTTGGTGGCAATACAAGCCGCGGTTTGCGCAAAATCCAGTATCGCATCAACCAAGACGAAAGCTGAGAGACTTTGATCGTGCCAGAGCTATGTTGGAGCCAGAGAAGTATGGCATGGCTGCAGGATGGAGTTGGAGCCAAAGAAGTTGCCAGAAGGCTTGCAGTGTCACACTCTGTCATTGTCCGCCTGAGGCAGCACCATCACGTCACTGAATCAGTCCAGAAACGCCCACATACAGGTCGACCCAAGAAAACCGCTCAGAGCGTTTGCAAGTGATCCTTAACTTATGTTGAAGTCTGTACCTCCTGTTGAAGCTAACCACGCAGCTGACCACCTCATCACAGGACAAGAGCTGTAGTAAAGGTGGACTGACACTGCTCAGTTTTTGTTTTAACTAATGTCTATGGCAGTCTTCATGTCTGGAAAAATCTGTTTAGTTTTAAAAATAGAGATGGAGGGAGGAAGAAAGTAGCAGAAGTGAGAGTGAGAGAAAGTGTGTGTGTTAATATTCACCTATTTGTTTCTTTTTTATTGACTTACACCCCTGTGAAGGTACATATATGATAGATATTTTGTCATAATGCTCTTTTACTTTCAATCCTTCTGAAATTTTGAGTACGTATGCTATGCTGTTCACTTATTATTTTTTTTATCCTGTGTGGCCACAGAGCTTTTACAAAATACCCTAAAAATGAAAATAAAAAAGTAGGGAACTACTTTGTTCGCCTTGTTTCAGTCTTGTATGTTAATTCTTTGGTTGTGTCACTGTATAGTTTTTCCTAGTTTCTTTTGTGTTTGGTGTGAACCTTAAACTTACTAAAAGACTTTAATTTTCAAAACAAGTTTTAATATCTGTTTTAGTAGGTGTTTTTACGCTCCCATCGACACAATGTACATCATTTAGGAGGCAAGCTTTTTAAACCCTGTCTGTAAGGACCAACCTGGGCTGAGAGGGATACATCCCAGCAGAAAGATAAAGAAACTCGATACTGTAGAACACGACTATAGCGGCACAGCGGGACCTTACCGTAATCCCCCTTTTTTTCTGTGTAAACTCAATTACTTGTGCTCAGGTTTAGTGGGGCAAGGAAAAGCCCAAACTCTGATACAGCGGGAGAGATCAAGCGATCTCTGACTGGGAGAATGGGGTTCGGGAGCTGTAGGCAGGCTCCAAACAGGCAGTCAGCGGTGCGATGTTGTGATTGGCCAGTCCAGTGATGAGGAGGTGGGGCAGGCAGCAGAGAGAGAGATGGTGCGGACAGAAGTGTTACGTGAGTCACTCCAAAAGCGATGTGCCGTACCTAGATGCTCAGTATGAGAGCGTATAGGCCATAACCCTAGGCCTAGGCAAGGCCAAAAAGTAAAAGAAGAGGAGAGCATGTAGTCTGTGATTCCTGATTCGTTGAATTGCGATCGTTGATGCTCATAGGCATACGCACGCATCCACTTCACCAGTTCTATGGTAGGTCTACCAGTACGATAGCACAAGCAACGAACAAGCAACGAGACCAAGGAAAAGATGGCTGCATACAAAGACAAATGGAAATGCTTCTCACTCGAATTAAAGGCAGAGATAATCATTGACAAGAAAAGGAAGACTAATTAATCTAAAGCGCAAATTTTATTGATATGGAAGGGAGGTGATCTTGATTTACAGAAATTTTTAGGTAATGTCCCCTTTGCATTTTTATAGCGGGAATTCTCCTACAGCGGGATTTTTCTTCTGGAACCAAATGTCCCGCTATAGCCGTGTTCCACTGACTGTAATAATCTTTCTACCCACTTGGGAATTGAATTCAGGCAATGATAGTACATAACAAGATGGGCCACTTCTCTCTTTGAGCCAATTAAAAAAGTATCCTCAAAATTTGGTGGCGCCCTCTTCACAAAAGCGCACTCTTTGCGAACAGAGTTACCCTACTTGAGTTTTAAAAAATCAAAGTGAAACTAGCAAGTTTTGGGATAAATATCGGAAGAACGCTTTTTAAAAATGGTTACGCTGGCAAAAAACCTCTTCCGGAGGAAAGGGTGATGGTTTTCTTCGTTTAATTTGACTTTAGAATGAAAGGCGAGAGGTCATTAAAATTTTAAAAAAACTAAAACTCCGCACTGAACGTACCCGAACTGCTGATGAACAGCAGTCGATCTGCGCACGCAAGGAGGTGCTATTCCTATTCTTCTTCTGGAAAAACGAAAGAGAGCTTCAAAACAGACTGCAGCGCCTTCTGAACCAAATGTCCCGCTATAGCCGTGTTCCACTGACTGTAATAATCTTTCTACCCACTTGGGAATTGAATTCAGGTCTCCTGTGCACAACAACAAAGCACCTAATTGCAACACCACAGACACCAGTTCAAAAAAAGTTACTTGGCAAGATTAAGCAAAAAAATGAGAAAAGGGAAAGAAAACAGACCAGATACTAGAGTAAATATGTGTATATCTAACAGTTTAGTTAGTTTTAGTAGAGGTTTTACGACGCTCGCAACTGCATAAGGTCATATGAGCGCCAGAAGATTAGAGGTGTTACAAGAGACAAGAGAGTAACAAATATAAAAAAGAAGAAGGGGAAATAAGGACGATAGACGTTGGATAGGAAAGAAGAAGCAAACCACACCAGAGTACCTGCCAGCCACTCACGAGCAGAGCTGGTTGTAACGGAGTACAAGTACTCCGGTACTTGTACTTACGTTACAATTTTCGGTACTTTTACTGTACTCCGGTACATTTTGAGAACCAGTACTTTTACTGTACTCCGATACTTTTTATAAAAGTACTTTTGAGTACTTTTCAAGTACATTTTGAGTACTTTTGAAGCTTAATGAAAGAATAAGTGCCGACATTTCCGATCATAATTTACGGAACAAACACCCGGGCGGGCACAGCCGATCAACCAAGAGTTAAAAGTTGAGATTAAAGAACTGCCCGTCGCGTCAAAGATCAGCCACTCTTGTGAAAGTGATCACATGCGCAGTAAAACTCCATGAAACGGTACAATGATCCCCAGACGGGATCACACCGGGGTGTGAACTGACCGATGAGAGTTTCTTTTCCCCAAACATCGCACTCGCATCTGAGCTCACCACCTGAACTTTCATCCCTCGCTGGGTGGGTTGGGCCTACAAATTCGCTCCAGGCAGGATCACATCGAACTGTGAACTCTTCCCTGACCATTGAAGTTGAAGGCAGTTTTTCTCTATTCCCAAAATTGCGAGACAGCCTGAATTTTAATTGGTGTGGTCACAACGTAATGGTGCGTAACGACAAAGGCGGGGGGACTCAATCAGAGATGGAAGGCTACAGTTTTTGGACAGGTAAAGGGGAGGGGCAACTGGATAAACGTAGATAAAGATCTCGAGACGATATGCTAATGAGTGTACGGTATAATATTATGGCTTGCCTCATGCCACCATGCTACTGTGATTGGTCATCAAGGATGACCACTCTTTGCTCACCATATGTCATAATCCTTCCCAGGGGTCACGCCAGTTCTTGGGCCACTGTAGATTCTTCCTTAGCTTCGTCGGGCTAAGATCCCATATTTCCCTTGCTCCCGAGCGCTGGGAACTTAGGCGGAGACTACTGTAGTAGAGAATCTTTGGTTACACTACACTTACTAGACTCTAGGAAATTACATGTAGTCCTATTTTGGTTTGCCGTGGGCGCCGTGGACTACACAGTGTGACCAAAATCTGTCTTACCACTATTATAATCAATTGAAACTGAAACTGAGTTCTCAATGTATATCAATCTAACATTTTTTAGGCTACCTAAATTTCTTTTTTCCTTTTTTTGTGGTTTGTGCTTAAGGCTACCTTGATTCCTTGAGGATTTGTTAAAGAAGAATTCAAAGCACTTTTTTTGCTGGCCATTTTCATCAATTTTTAATTTTCTTAGATCAACTTTGTCTCTACATTTTCCAATTTTGATACTTTTCCTACTTTCCGACCTCTAGGACTGACTTACATTTGATCATATTGTCTTGCTCAAACAAATTCTATTCATAATATCACTTACTCACTAGTTGCGTCTGTTTGCTGGGGTTTTTTTTTCAATTTCACGGACAATTTCCACCTACGTTCAGTGCGTATATTCAAATGCTTTGTATACTGTTTACATTATTAGTAATAAATGGCCGAATTAGTCAATTATACTAGAAATGTTAATTGTTATTCAATATGAAGTTTTGCATTAGTACTGAAGTGTTTTAGCATATTAGCAGAAAGTACTCCAAATGTACTCATAAGTACTTTTTTAAAAAGTACTTGTACTCAAGTACATTTTACAGGAAAGTACTTTTACTGTACTTAAGTACATATTTTAGATTGTACTTAAATTTGTACTTAAGTACCTTTTTAAAAGTACTTTAACAGCTCTGCTCACGAGTATATTAACAGTTGAAAAAAAAAAAAAAAAAGAACCCCACATAAAACATCACTAATATATTTATTATGATTTTTCCATGTTATCCATTTGATCATAGTATAATATCAAACTCACAACAGTCGGTCAGTAATATAAAAAATTATAACTGAAAAACATGAAAATGTTCATCAATTCCAAGCAGGAAAATATCAAATTGTACACATCCAAATCTTATTTCACATTTCCAGCACATCTGACAAAGACAAATATAGACCAATAATTCCATATCTTGAGATCTTGTACAGCAAGAAACTATCACTGTAAGAGAACTCTGAAACAACCAAAAAAAGCTCGTTAATCATGAGAATGAGAATTGACTTTTGAAGCAGAGAAAGAATTGGTATTGTACCAAACCTTTGATAATCCTGTTTTCATCCGTTCCCTAACTTACGTAAAATAGAGGACTCTTACTCATCCAAGACCAGCACAGTCAATGACAAAAATCACAACAAGCATGCTTAAACCAGTGTGGAGGTTTGAATTTATAATCAGTGTACAGAAGTTGTGGGCATATTATTGCCAAATTTTTTGTCACCATAACAAGGTTAGTTTTTCTAAAAACTGTGCATGTCCTTTCAAATGGGCCTATCCTCTTGACAATTAGTAAGCATGATTTACTATATAGTGGACTGTGTACAAATTCTCTGTTGAGACTGGAAAAAAATTGTATCATGAGAATTCTGTACTCATCATTGCTATTACAAATCCTTCACATTATGACAGGGAATTTAATCACATCACGTCAAATCAAACCTCCCGAAATGACCAATCCCACCAAAGGGAAGTAAAAAAATGTGCACCTTGAAGCAGTCCTCTGAAAGATCAACCATACTTTAAAAAAAAAAGGGGTACTCTTTCCATTATACGTTAAACATGTTTTAAAGACTACACTGATCCCAGTGACTCTCTGAACCAACAATATGTAGAGTATCTTCCGATCCAATGCATTAGTACGTATGCGCACAAGCTCACAAACTTTTTCCTCTGTGTAGGACCCATATGATCTCCCCACAAAAATATTTTTTTCTTTCTAAAGGTAGGTGTTTTACGACCCCCCATTGACACAATTTAGATCAATTAGAATGCGGGCTTCTGACCTGCCTGTCAGGGCCAACATGATCTGAGAGGGATACTATATCCCAGCGGAAAGACTGAGATACCCAATAAAAAATTCTCCAAACTCAAAACTCCTCCATACGGCAGTGAAGCGACCAACGGCTACACCTCCGAAGGCGGTCCAAAAATTAAACACAGTTCAGATTTTGAGAGTGTGATGGTAACACAAAGACAAAAGCTGCTTCACAAGTTAAAATGTTCACAACCAGTAGCTAAAACCAGACCACAGCATTTAGTATGAAGACAAGGGTGAAAAGTGTTCCAACGTCCCTTACTTAGACTGACTTTGAATTGGCAACGAATTACTGAAACTAAATATTATTCATCAAATAAGAAACATAAAATATATATTGCAAGTCCTATCCTTTTCGTCTCTTTCTGCTCTCCTGAGTATTCATACAAGTCCTCTACATCAGATGCCCCAGTGCCTTTCAAAGTCCATTTAAGGAAAGATTGGACAGTTCTTATTGTATAACTTATAGTATAAGTAGGCCTACTTTAATTCTATTTTAAGCAGATGGGGGATAACAAAAAGCTTAATAATTGATGGACGGATTGTGATACATTTTCCAATGGATGTTATAGGCCTACAGAGGTACATGGATAATTTTCCAAGTCTGCGAGCAGGTTGCCAATAAAACATCACTTTCTTGAAATTGAGTTCAAAAGACAGCACACACTGGAATGTCAATGAGAACCACCTTCATGTTTTTCACTGTCATGGGTAGCAATACTTTCAACATCAAGTGTAATCTGGTGATACCGAGTCAGGTGTTTTTTCCTTCAAATTCTTTTTCTTCATAAGATTCAAAACAATTGAGACAATTTCTTAAAAGTATACTTATTTGCCAATATAAAAATAAATGAGCGATGATTCAAGACTACTATGTTTGTACAGTTCATTTTATGTAAGAAAGCTTTTTAAAGCCAACTTGCATGTGAATAATTTCCAAAAGTTTTTTAAAAAAAGGAGAAGAATGAAATCCCTGAGAAAACAAAACAACCGATGAATATGAAAACAAAATACGAGTGACACACATTGTGGACTGAAGAAATTATAAAATATCCCACTTTCGACATTATCATTCCCCAACCCAAAAAAGAGAAAAAGAAACAAAATTTTTGTAGACATTCTATACTATTCTATAAGAAAACGGCCAAACGTAGCCAAACATTGTGATGTTGGAGACTCCCTTCACATTCAAGCATTTACACAAAAGAAACAAAATATGAAATATCTTGCGAGTCTGGTAACGTACAAGATGTTAATGAACAGACTTTGGGGCCAATCTCAAAATCTAAGGTATGAGTACTAAGTAAAATTTTTGAAAATGGTGTTTGGGGTAGAGTTTATGATCTTAGTTTAGTTTTAGTAGAGGTTTTACGGCGCTCGCAACTGCATAAGGTCAAATGAGCGCCAGAAGATTAGAGGTGTTACAAGAGAGTAACAAACATAAAAAAAGAAGAAGGGGAGATAAGGATGATGGATGTTCGATAGGAAAGAAGGAACAAACCACACCAGAGCACCCGCCAACCACCTACTGAGGTTATGATCGACATCTCAAAGAATGTTTGTTTTAGTAAGAGTTTTATGGCAATTGCAACACAATAAGGTCATATAAGTGCTGAAGATTAGAGGTGTTACAAGAATGTAACAAATACGAAAAAGAAGTAGGGGAGATAGAGACGATAGATTTTTTATTTTAGAAGAAAGAAGGAGCAAACCAAACCAGAGCACCCGCCAACCATCCACAGAGAATGTTTTTGAATAGTGGAGAAAAGCTTATCATAGAGACAACTATACCTGGGGTATAACATAACAAAACAAAACAACTCGAGCACAGTAAAAAAGAGAAGAAAGGTCAAGAGTGGTGCTGAAAAAAAATTCAGAAACATTTTTTTTTCTTAAAAAGGAAGATTATTCCAACAGAAATAAGATCTTCAGCAGAATTGTATTACACCGGTGTCTTGTGTTACTACGACGCCAGCACCTCATGTGCTCATGCATTCCAGCCTAATGCCACGTGGAAGTAGGACACAAGGCCAACAAGTACAGGACTACCCACCATTACGAATTTGGTGAACTTTAAGAAAATATGATCGCAATGCCCCTGATTCCGATTAAAAAAAATTTCGGCTGCCCAAGTCTACTGCCAACCTTCCTGGTGTATAAAGGAAGACAAAATACCAGACACAGACAGTTTACGTCACTAGGTCACGTGTAGCTGTCACATCCTCTTTACATTGAACCCTTGCAGCAGGTCAGTGCCACTTTGTCCATAGAAAAATATTAAGGCTATAGAAGTAGACATAGCCAGGAGTAAGGCAAACATTAGGTTGGACAACCTTGTTAGAAAATTCCTGCCCTTTCGCAGCCTAGGCCAAAGAAAGAATTTTTTTAAAAATAAAAAAATAAATCATTACAATCAGGATCAAAGGCTTGTGGTGATGTACGTTATTCTATAATTCCAAAGGTTTCTTTTGTTTTTGCAAGCAGCAACTTACCAACCCCCCCCCCCCCCCCCCCCCCCCCATCTTTTTCTGAACTCGACAATGACGAGCCTGGCAAGACCTATTTTTTTCACCATACCTGTGTTTATGTTACATTTACACTTGCCTGACTACAATCCCTGTCCCTGATACCCCAGGGCCCTGGAGGAAGACTATCCAGGGCAATATTACAAATTTTAGAGCCAATTACAAATATTCCATTTCTTAATCACTAAAACAAGCTGGTGGGTGGGCAGCCCTGCAAATGCTGAAAAAAGATGTGATGATAACTTCTTCCTCCGCAGTTTTTGCTATTTCTACTTCACTTTTTTTTCATTATTTCTTTTTATTTTTTTGCTTTTTGCCAGGACAACACTATAAGGTAGTTACAATGGCCATGTGCTTCTCTTGAATCCAACAAACACCCTCATATGTTGTATATATCTGGTGACACGATAGCTCAGAAGGCACCATGCTGAACTTTGAGTAGGCGACGGCCCTTGCTTGAATCCTGAATGGAGCTTTTTTCGACGGGCTGTTTAAGGAGTCTTTGGGCTGTCTTCCCTTCCTAGCTGAGGCAAACTTTACATCACAACGACCTTTCCTCTTCAAAAATAATGATAAGATAAGGGTGATAAATCAGCACCACAGCCATATCTCTCATTTCACATGATGAAACAGGTTACTGGCCAGTTTTCCACCATTTCTGACAGAGGTGCTTCCTCTTTGCGCAAAATTGAACAGACATATAAAGAGATGTGGACAAGAAAACTATTTACATTGCAATACAACAAGCTTATAGCTCACATTTCCCACATACCAATGCAACACAATTTTAGTATAAGACACACCCCCCCCCCCCTCATCCCTTCCCAATTTTTTATGTGCTGTCCCAACAACCCCCCCCCCCCTTTCCCCCACCCATATTTATATACATATTTATACATTTATGTATGTACATTATAAGCAAACTGTCCCAGCTTCACGTGGGAGGGACAAAGTCAGATCTGAGAGAGTTGATCTTAGCGCAGATCTTGAGGGCAGGTCCCAGCTTGATGTTCATGGCCGTCATGAGGTGGTCTTCCTTCAGTAGGAGAAGCGCTTGCCCGTCGATCTCTTGGGAGCGGAACTCCTCTGCGTAGTCACAGCAGCCAGGAAGCGACTGGATGAAATCATACACCTCCGTGACCTGATCACATGGGGAAAAAGGTGGAAAGTGAGATTTTACACAACGGGGGAAAAAAGTTTGCTCGTTTTGTTTGTTGGAATAAAGAGGGGCAAATTGACACAATAATGGTCATTTAGTGCAGGGAAAAAGCTAGGTGGGCAGACAGTTTAGTTTTTTTAGTTTTAGTAAGTGTTTTACGGCACTTGCAACACAATAAGGTCATATAAGTGCCGAAGATTAGGTGTTTTAACGCCTCCATTGACACAATTTAAATCATTTAAGAGGAGTGCTTTCACCCTGTCTGTCAAGGCCAATCCAGGCTGACAGGTATAAAACATCCCAGGAAAAAGGCAGAAATAAAAAGTAGTCCCCAAACAGGAATCGAAATCGTACCTACAGCATGCGACTGACAGCGATTAAACGTCATACCACAGATGCCGGTAGCAAGTATGTGAACCCATTTACAAAATGGAACAAAACTATAGGTAATCTACAGAATATTTCATTAATAAGTGACATCATGCTTGGTGCGCACATGTAATTGGTGCGGATTCTAAGGTAAAGGTAATAGTAATAGTAATGTGGTACCAGCGGCTTAGAGGTTAAGCCACCGGACTCATTATCGTGAGGTTGCGTGTTCAGGGGTTTGAGCCACAGGTCCGACATTGTGTCCTTGGGAAAAGCACTTTACACAAATTTTCCTCGCTTCTCCCTAGTGAGAAAGGGTATCAAGCCACAGACAGCAAAAGATCTTGTCAGTATGTTCGTGTTTTAGTGCCTATAAAAGGCAGCTTGCACTGTATGATTCCCAGAAAGTTGACATTGCTTCAGAATGCTATCAGGTCTGCTGGGGTAATAGTATAGATTGTCAAGCGCATAGAGCTTGCTGTTGAGCTGGGATTTGCGCTAAACAAATATTATCTATTATTAATAATGAAAAATTTTACTCCACTTTCAGGGGAAATAGTATAGTCAAGCACATAGAGCTTGCTGTTAAGCTGGGATTCACGCTGTACAAATGCTATCTATGATTAACAGTGAAAACGTACACTTAGTTTTAGTTTTAGTAGAGTTTTTACGGCGCTCGCAACTGCATAAGGTCATATGAGCGCCTAAACTTACACTCCATTTTCCGGGGTCAGTCTTTGGTATATTGTTGGTCTCCACCTCCATCTCAAAGTCAGGGGCAGGGGTCGGGGAGGCTGCAGAAGAGCTTGTATCCTGCACACTGTTGGAACTGCTCATCTCATCTCCCACAGCCTGCTGTGAACACACACAGAGAAAATTCAATGACAATGCAATGTGGACCTGCTGCTCTATGAAATCTAAAAATCAGGTTCTCAAGGGGGACAAAATCAGGATCAACGACAATTCACCAGGGTTACCGCCAAGCTGACTTAAAAATTTTCCAGGGGTGTCCATAAATATATGAAGGCAGAGTAAGTTTTTTGAAAAATCCAGTGCAACAGACAGAACTAAAAAATTGGGACAAACGCAATCGAAATTGGGATGCTTGAGATATGGGGGGAAAAAAAGGGATATCATGATTAAATTGGGATGAGTGGCAGGTCTGTGTAATGTAAGGCTTCCCTAGTCCTGACATGCCATCTTTAAGCAGTGTGCACCATGCAGATTTGTCTGAGCGGTAGACACGATAAAGGAAGATTTTTTTTTTTTTACAGTAGAGGGTTTTACGGCGCTCGCAACTGCATAAGGTCATATGAGCGCCAAGGAAGTAGTTTGCAAAAGCATTGCTTCCCAATTGACATGGTCTATATGTTTAGAACAAAAAAAAAGATGTAAGTGATGTTTTGTTATTTTGCAGGTGTCAAACAGATTTTTTTAAAAAGGGAGGGAATAAAAAGAATTTTGACTGAAAATTCACAAGGATAATATATCATTATAAACCATATCAATTATCATTTCCAAACACACACATGTGGAAATAAAAAACAACCCCCCTCACAGCAATAAAGTAAAATTATATCGGCCCCCCATACACACACAAACAAGTAATAAACATTTTCCTAGTACATACCACGTTATTGCTGTCCTCATTATTTTCTTCCGTCTTGCCAGAAGACAAAGCATACGTCAGGCGCGTGTTTTTGTTAGCCCGCCAGCCTTTTCTGCCAAGTATATGTTTTCTCTTGCGTGCTGTGCCTTCAAGAAAGGGAATACGGGTGTGGAGAGACAACAAATCTACATGAGCTTCACAGTGTACGGCTTGCTCGGTATCACATTGGGACACAAAACAGACCACCCTAGTTCAAATCCCAAATGGGACGTTCTTGAACTCGGGCTGTTCGAGGAGTGTTTGTGGAACAAGTCCAAATGTAAATGCAATAGAACACACAATTAATATGTTATTCTTGAACTAAATACATCACTGAATACAATGCAGTTTCAATGCATACCAGTAGTCCCATATTCAAAATTCTGTTAATTCAGAGAGTACAAATAAATACAATGCTGATACTTGCAAACACTTAAAAATTATAATTTATGCAGTGGAATCCAATTAAACCAAACATGGTTATTCTGAAAACAGAGGGGGGGTTTTTTCCTCCCTAAACCAGGAAAAAAAAAATGGTGGTCCCCGTCTCACAGATTTTTGTTCGAAGCCGACGCCAATGTAACTCGAAAATTTAGGACAGTTGCTCACTGTATACCACAAACGACAGCAACAAATTATACTACTGAGAGTCCTGACTCACCTCGAGGCTTGTAGAGACCAACGCGGCGTGTGTGGCTGACGTTGTGTCTACGGGAACACGACAATGAACAAAACCGCCGTGAGTTGTTGAACGTGGAGGCAGGCGCCACCTTCTGGCAGATCTCGCATTTGAGGAGAGGCACTGGAGGTTTGGGTGGAGGAGCAGGCTGCTGTTGTTGTTGTTGTTGTTGTTGTTGCTGTTGTTGTTGTTGGGTCTTCTCCGGTTCTTGTGGGAGTTGTGGGCTTGACAAGTGAGCTGAAACAGTTTAGAAAATCTTCAACGGTCATGACACTATTGCCAGGTTACTTTAGGTTGTATTGGAAAAACAAATAAAAAAGTAGCACACTTAAGCAAAAGAACAAAAAAGTCCCAATAATTGAAAAAAAAACCCAACAATAACGAAAACAACCAAAAAACCCTCCCGTATTGAAGATCAAAACAAGTCAGTCACTTCACCATACCAATGACTAGAAATCGTTAAATAAAAAAACAAAACCACCAACAACCTCACTTGGGCAATTATATCATAACTGTAATGGAATTTTGGGACTTATTTTAGGACTGAGTACATTAACTCACTCACTGCCATGCCCGAACCCTGTCGGGTGAACCGCGTAGACCGCTGCCTGCCCAACCCGAAACCCCCTGGGTGCGTTTTTACTACTATTTTTCAAACATTCCCCGATGTGTTTCGGGCTTGGCAGTCGGAAGTAGGCGACATAAGCCAGTTTAGTTTCAATTCTGCATTGTTGCAGTAACTTCCCTTGAAAAGTTACTTAAAAATCGGACTTTTTCTAACTCACCTGAAACGAACTAAAAACTACAAACGCTCAGTTATGATGGCTACGGCGTCTCAACGAGGTCAGAACATTTGAATTGATGGACCCATTCATCAATAAAGGGTCAGATTTAGAACTTTTTGCAGATGATAGTGATGATGAACCATCATACAGAGTTGATAATGAGTATAGGAAAGGAAATAGGAGAGGTGCGGAAACAAGTGAAGATGAAAACTGCTAGATCTAGGCCTAAATCTAGAATCAGGTGTTCCCCATGCTCAGACCAATGATCCGGCGCTTTCCGGTCCCAGTTCAGGCCCGTCACGCAAACGTCAAAGATCACACAACGTAGATTTAGACTCCAAATGATAGGAATACAGCTGACATAGACCCCCCTAGGTCTACACAACAGACTTCAAATAGTGGCACTCTCCCATGCCCCATCCTGCAACCACACACCCTGATGTTGATGCTCAGGATGGGTGGACTGATGACTTGAATGATATTCCAGTTATATAAAATTTGTCAGATATCTTTTCATAGTGACTCTTCAACATTTGTCAGTAGATACAAAATCTATTTCTTGCAGAGACAAAGATATAGAGGCATACATATCGACTGAATGTACCAAGCACCTGAATCTTATGTAAAAGGTGTTTTTTTCTCGATTTTGCCACATATTCACACAACTCATAAAATTTCACACGATAAAGGTATCACAAATTTTTATTTTTATTTGTTGAGTATGTTTCAATGTCATTGTTTGAGGAAAGGTTCAATGCTGTACACAAAATAATAAGCTCACAGAGGTTTTGAAAATGGTTCTGAAGCCTGGCATTCCTCAGTTACCCTGCCCAGAAATGCCAGGCAGTGAATGAGTTAACATTTTTTTTTTTTTAACACACTTTATGGAGAATACAATTAACTAGATATTCACTTTTTTTTTCTCTTCTTTTTTTTTTTTAAGGTGCTACATTCCACCACCTCCCCCCAAAAATTTAAAAATAAAGAATCAACACCACCACCCAACACTCAAATCTCTTATACATGTTTTGGTAGATCTTACAAGCAGTATACTGACCGTCCACTTGGCTGAGCAGAGTAGGTGGCTCGTCGTCATAGCTGGTGCCTTCTTCTTCCGACTCTTTGGACACTTTGCTGCTGGCTTTGGGAGGTATAAACTCCTGCAGCAGAGAAGACTGTTGGACCTGCACGTAAAAGGAATGAAAAACAGATTATAACATTGTCAAAAATCTTTTCAGATAGCAAACTTAACACACAGACATTTTTCTGGACACTATCATCTTAGTGGCAACAGGTAAGATTATACACAAAGCCGAGAGCCTCTTTTAATGAGAAATGAAGAACTCTCATACAAAAAAGTGATATCAGACTATCAAAATCATTAAAAAGTGAAATATCCCCATTACAAAAACCCAACACAAAACCCCTAAAAACGAGAGCAGCAAAAGTAAATATCTTGAGAGTAAATTCAGGAGTACATTTCTATCAAACAAAGTATCAAATGAATTATCACTGAAGTTCTGAGTGTGCATGTGTGTGGGCGTACGCGCGTTCCATAAACAGCAGCAATAGCAAAAGCCGATCACTCACTGGAAATGGCTCGCGCCCTTTCTGTATGAAAAAGCCCTTGATGATATAAATGAGCATTTCATGGCTGACAATGGTGGGTTCCCCCCCCCCCCAAATGAATAACTGTGTGTGTTTCATAAACAACAACTATAGCAAAACCCCATCCATCACTCACCGGAAATGGCTCGGGCCCTTCCTGTATCACGAAACCCTCGATGATATGAGTGAGGATCTGCGGCCTCACGATGGCCCTCTGCTTCTCCACCACCACCTTCTCCGCAGGCTGCTGCGGGGGCAGCACGGATGACGGTTCCACGGCCGTCAGTGGCTTCGTCTCTCTCACCAAGGTCATCAAGCCAGCCGCCTCCATCGCAGCCTTCATGTTGTTACCCGTACCACCTCCACCGTTTGCTTGTTTCGCTGGAGGGGCTTCCCCACTGTGGATGGAAGGCTTCTCTTCCATCACAATATTGTCAATGACCACTTTCTCCTCTGTCACCTGCAAATAATAAAAGCACTGGAGATACAAACTTATCCATTCAATCTTTAATTTGACCTAGCAAAGGCTCATGGTAATTTCATCATTGTTGCATTGCCATGGGAGACAGGGCAAAGGAATCATCCCCTCCCCCCCCCCCCGAAGAAAACAAGGATCAAATGATCAACACCTACATAAAGAGTGCCCCTGCCCCCAACAAAAAAACACAACAAGACACAAACCCCTTGTGTTTCTACTAAATAAATATCTGTCCCAATCATCATTTCTCATAAAAAAGTTTACCCTCAACATTCAACCCTCCGTATTACACAGCTGTAACACTTCTGTTTGCTTGTTTGAGTACGTGTTTAATGGCACTATCGACTCAGTTTTAGTCAGCTGTTTTACCTGAGCGTTGAGCTTCGTGGGAGAGCTATTGGTGCTGCTGCCGCTGCTGTTGGCGACTGGGGCAGCAGCTGCAGTGGTGGCGACACTCGGAGCGACGCTGGCAGCCGAGGAACCCATGCTGGCCTTGATCTTGTCCCTGAGTGTCGGGTCGACGGTGGTCGCACCGCTGCTGTTGCCGGAGGTAGGTTGAGGTTTCACCGATTCAGTCTGGGGTAATTAAGTAAGAAAGTAAGTTGACTCAGTGTTTAAGGCCACTGGCCCACATCACATCACATAAAACACTCATTTGTTAAATAAAGTTTCCATAAACGAAAAGGTACAGGATGGGAACATATCTCTTATCGTGGGTCAAACATTGCACATTTCTGTCACTGGGCCACAGTCGGGGGGAAAAGACAGACAAAAGTCACGATAAACAGATCTTAAAAATCTCTCTCTCTGTCTCTCCTCATTTCAAAGTGGAGACTGCTAGCCTGTAAATGTTTTACACCCCCACCAACTCAAATCTGGGAGGCCAAGGAAGTCTTGATAAGCCTTTTTCTCATCTTCTCATAGATGGGGATTTATTCCATGTAAAAATGTATTACATCAACCTCGAAAAAGTTTAATTAATCATACACTTGATTACAGGTTACATTTCAGTAGCCTCAAATTTCACACAGGGTCTGAGAATTGACAGATCTTATATACTTTTTAAAATGGAGAGCTCTTGTTGGTGGCCTTTACTTCAGAATGAGGTGAGAAAGGCTGATGATCATTACGGCGATGATGATGATGACACCGTTATAAATACTGTCATTTACACTGCTATAAATATTGAAATTCTACACTTATTTTTAGCCTTTTTTTCTTTTTCTTCGGGATTGCAACAATGATGATGATGACAATGATGATATAACATTTTTAAATTCACATCGGGTGTAAATGTAAGAAAAAAAAACCCCAAAACAAAAAAAAAAGACACCAAAAAGGCAGACCTCTGAATCTGAAGCACTTTTGGCAGCACTGGCTTGAGCAATGATCTGTGCCACAGCTGGCACGGCCGGGGGCACTTTGGTAGGGGAGGGCGAGATGACCTCAACCGTCTCCACGTGGGGCGAGGCCACTGCTGACGGCACAACAGCAGTCACCGGCGTTGCCGTGGTAACTGTAGATGGGCCCGTCACCGCCGCCACCATCACAGCAGACGCCGCTGTGACTATAGCCGCTGTGCTGACCGGGGTGACCAACGGGGAGGATTTGGAGATGGGCGGCGCGGTGGGAGAGGTCATCATCACGGCAACGTTGGCTGCAGCGACAGCAGGAGAGGTAGACGCAGTAGCAGTGGCGGCGGCGGCAGCAGCAGCAGCAGCGGGGGAGATCGCCTTGGCTTGGGCCTTTGGCCGAGCTTTCGGGGTTTTGGGGACGGCCGGGACGTTCAGCTTGGCCTGCGGGACGCCGCCCACCATGTTGGGCTGAATCTTTGCGGTCACCGGGGCACGAGACACTGACGGGAGGATAACTTTACCAGGGGCACCAGTCTGCTGAAAATCGAGAGAAAAAAAAGAAGTTGTGGCGTCGGTGGCTTAGTGGTTAAGCTCTCAAACTTGCAACCATAAGGTCACAGGTTTGAATCCCATCAGGGGACCGGGCCCGACATAGTGTCCTCGGGAAAGGCACTTTACGCAAATTTTCCTCACTTCACCCAGGTGTAAAAGGGTACACAGCTATAGACAGTGAAAGATCTTGTCAGTTTGTTAGTGTTTTGAGTGCTAAATCAGGTGCTTGTACTGTATGCTTCCCGGGAAGCTGAGAATGTTTCTGAGTCTTCTATGGTCTACTGGGGTAATAATATAGTGTGTAAAGTGCATACAGCTTGCTGTCAAGCGGGGATATGTGCTACACAAATGCTATTTATCATTATTATTAAGTTAACTTCCTTTGTTTGTTTGAGTAAGGAGAAGCACATCAATACAACAATGGCCATTAAAGGCCAAGAAAAAGCAAGACAGACGGACAGAAACAACAGAGGGAGAGTGAAGAAGTAGAACCTACTGGTGGCACCCTCTTTGTTGTTGTTTGTTTAGTATAGGGTTTTACGGCGCTCGCAACTGCATAAGGTCATATGAGCGCGCGGGACACACCTAATACTTTTTCGTTGGTAGGAAATTTTGAATTTTGCCCGGGTGGCGGCCGAAGCCTACTCTTATCGATTTTAGACCACCAAGGGATCTTTAACGTGCGCAACTTGCACACGGGCCCTCCGAGATTTTTCGCCCTTGTCCGAGAAGGCTAGGTGTAGATCTTTCCTACCAGAAGATCAGGGGTGTTGCAGAAAGACAGCAGTTAGGAGGAGCCAGGGAGTAGCAGTAGAAAGGCTGCAGAAAGAGTCAGGAGCCCAGAGGAGGGGGCAAAGGGGGTGAGGGGGTGGGGGCAGAAAGTGGAAATGAAAGCAGACAACAGAACATTGTTAGAGATCAGGAAAGGATGTGAAAGGAGACAATTTTAGAGAAGAAAATTTTTTGGTCGCTACCCGGAATCGAACCCGGGACCTTTGAATGAGAGGCCAACACCTTAACCTCTAGGCCACGAGAGCCCCCTGGCACCCTCTAACCACCCACACTAAAGGTGAAAAGAAACACATACAAAGTTGACAATACCTTGTCATAGGGGTGGCACATGGACAATGGTAGCATTTCTTTTTTTTTTTTTTAAATCTGCTATGCCAAACCTTTAGAAGTAAACAAAGATGGTGCCTTTAAAAAAAATATTTAAAAAGAGCCACCTCTTGACTAAAGACTTCAATGAAGGGATATCAATCAAAAGGGGGGCCCAAAAAAATATGTCTGAACTTTTTTTCAGTCTTGATTTGGAAAAATTGTACAGAAGTACATAACTCATTCCTATCAAAGACCTATCATCCTCATCTCTCCATCTTTTCTTTGTATGCTACTGTCTCATAACACCTCTAATCTTCAGCACTTATATGACCTATTTGTGTTGCAGGAAGCGCCATAAAACTCTTATTACTCAAAACTTCAAGAGTGCGTTTATTACTGTAATACAAACCTTTCCAGCTTGGGGCTGCTGCTGAGGCTGAGGCTGCTGCTGCTGAGGCGTCTTCATGCCTGTAAATGCCTGCATGTTGGTCATGGTGATGGGCTGTGGCTGGATGGGGCCCGGCGTGCGGATGATCAGATTCTGACCCGCCAAAAATGCCTGTGGACGAATACAGATAACGTTCTTCTTGAGCTAGGGACAGCACACAGACAGAACGATAGTCATTCAAATGAATGCACACGTGTCACGATACAGTGGAATCAGGCGCTCGTCAATTATGGTGTGGAGTTAGTGGTATTATCTTAAAGCTTATTCATTTGCCTTGCTTTTAAATTTAAAAAATCCACATCTATTAAATACCAATCTATCTTTAATAGAAGTCGAGATATTTGTGATTAAATGAGTTGGGGTCACCTGGTTTCAAAGGTAATTTTTTATAGAAAACGGCCGCCAAAGTTTGGTAACTGCCATAGCTTGAGGATCCCTGGGAACTGAAAACTTACATTTTTTTGGTGCCTTTAATCAACGTTTTTTCAGTAAAGTCTACACAGAAATGTGTTTTTACATGGACAAAAAAGGTGTTGAGCCAAAAAACAAAAATTTGTAAAAATTACCAAAACCACCAGAAAGATGCCAGTTTCTTTGATTTCATTATTTTGATGAGCACCTGATTTCACCACGGTGCCTCACACATTAATAGGCTGATCCCAATTATGAGAAGGAGAAGCACATTGACAACACAGTGATGGTCTGTCACCTAGCACAGGGGAAAAAGCCAAATGACAGATGCAGGTAGCAGAACTATAAATAGAAAGAAGGGTAAGAACCAGCCATATCCTTTATCGACAGCTGAAGCTGCTCCAACCATCACCCGTCCAAGACAATCAACTGTACAAATGACCGCTTCCAACTTCCCCCTTGCATTTGTTCTGTATTATAATGACACTTTCCAAGACATCCGCCTGTTTAAGACAACCACTTTTCTCCTCAATAACCAGTAGCCGCCTTGGAAAATTTTAATCTTATTTATGCCCCCCCCCCCCCCCCAACCTACCCAAAGAAGTCGTTTCTCTTACTTTCACAAACACCGACAACAAGTCTCTCCCCCTCCCGACCACTCACAGGCATCTGCGACTGTCCCTGGTTGATGATCCCCTGATGTCCGGCGGCAGCCGCGGCCAGAGGTATCCCCTGCTGCATCTGGAGGTTGGCCACCGCCTGCATCAGGGCCTGGTTGGTCAGCAAGCCCTGCATGGGCTGTGAGCTGATGATCTGACCGGCGCTGTTCACCATCTGGGGCTGGTTCAGACGCAGGCCCCCTCCACTCTGATGGGTGCTCACTGCTCCCTGTGGGGACGGGAACGGGATGGGGATGGGAGGGAGTAAATGAGATTAATTCAATCAAAATGTCATAAACCTGTATCAACATTATTCAGATAACAACAAAAACAATAATAATGATAATAATAATAACGATATTAATAGCAATAATACAAATAACAATGACGATGATAGTATTAAGAATACAGCTGAATCTGTCCAAAGCGGCCGCCCATTGTCAAGGAGAGAAGTGACTGTCTTAAACAGGTGGAAGTTTGGAACAATGCCATTATAATATAAAAAAAGAAGGAAGGGCCACCTGGCACTTTTTTTGTACAGGTATTCATCTTGGACAGGTGGCTGTTAGTAGAGCAGTTTCAACTGTACCAACAGATAAATAATAAAAATAATAATCACAATAATATGACACAGCATTTAACTAGCACAAATCTCTCCTCAAAAGAATGCCCTGGGTAAAAGAAAAAAATTGTATACCTGAGTCACAAAACTTGTGGCAAGATTAGCATTCGCCTGGCTAGAAAACACACCTGAAAAGGGTAGAAAAACAAATGTGTTAGCAAGGCCTACAAAAACACCAAATACTTTCTTCTTCGTTGCTTTTTTTCTGCAACATTCCAGAACTAAATAAAAGGATGGCCATTGAGACATATCACTACAGGTGGGGAGGAAGGGAAGAGCTGCTAAAAAGTAATATGAGCAGAGTAGAAATGATGACAAATTTCTAAAACGTAAGTCAAAGAGAAGATTAAAATGTTTTTTTTATTCAATTAAAAGTAAATGTTACACAAAAGTAATTTTTGTCTTGAGCAATGACTGCAATTAATCCTCCAACTTTCATCACTTTATGAATCATTGACCCATGCCACAGTCAGAGTTGCAGTGCCGTGTGCAACAAAAGCCCCCACTGTATCTCTGTGCTATTCTAAGCTTTCTTACTGAGTTTTCTCATTTTACATTTTTCAAGGAAAATCTCTTTTGCTTCTTATCTTCCCAGGGAAAAAAATCTCTATTTTTCCAATGAAAACCTCTTTTGTTTTAAAATTTTCCCTCGAAAAACACTTTTGTTCAACATTTTCTATTCTTCTTCTGCGTTCTTATTTTCTCATGAAAACCTCTTATTTTGTATTTCCCCTAGGAGAAATTAGCCAGTTCCGCCCAGTCTGTCTACGATGAGCTACTCACCTATCTGTCCCAAAACCATCGGAGCCGCCGCAGTCTGTTGGGCAGGAAGCACCTGTTGCTTGGCCACCATGGACGCAATCGCCGCCGTGGCATTCTGACCTTGTGCCTGGACCTGGGCCTGAGCTTTCGCACCATTAGCTGGGGCCTTGTTGCCGTTGGCAATGGCGTTCTGCGGGACCATGCCTTGCATTGAGCTCTGTATGAGGCCGCTGCCATTGCCCAGGGACATATGGGTGGGCTGCTGGAATAAACAAGACACTGATTGTTGAGGAAACGAGGGAAAACACTTTTCAACTCTGTTCCATATATGGGTATTTGTTGGAGGAAAGAGAAGCACACCACCAACACGATAATAGTCATCAACTTCAAGTGCAGAAAAAAAAAGGAAGACAAACAGGAAATAAGAGGGAAATAAAACTAAAAAGAAAGACCTTCCAGTGGTGCCCTCCAAATACCCCTGACTTGATGTGTAGTGAGTCATGATATAAAAATATCTGCTACATTTCTCCAGAAAGTAGAAAGTAGGACAATAGTTTCATTGACAAAAATAGAAACCTGAGGCTTAAATTTTTTTAGAATACAAAATTAAAAACCAAACAAACAAACAAAAAAACAACCAAGGAGTTCATCACACTCCCAATAAGCAATACAAGTAACAATACAGTACAAAATCATGTCCATGCAGGGGTAGGGAACAGCAAGGAGTCAGACAGACAAACACAAGCTGGGTTTTGTTAACACTGTGTTCTACAGATCCATGGATAAAAGTTGCTTTCATTCATACGAAAGCAGGTTAGTCCGATAAAGTATAACGAAAAAAAGATCCAAACATGTCTCAGCAAAAAAAGGAAAATGATCAACTATGAGAGAAATTTAAAAAAAGCCACGTAGCTTATGTGAACCCAAACACTGCCCTGATCAAATGGAAATTAATGATGTCATTTTGTCTGTCTTGTTCCAGCACAAATAAAGATTTTTGTCCTTTAGGTAACAACATAGGGACTTTCATTTAATCACCCTTCCAACAAATGCCACAAAGTGAAGGGGTAGCAGAAGGATCCCTCTAATCAAAAACGGAGTTAATTTCATACCATCACGAACTACAAAGTAACATGAACAATGCAAAAATGACCAGCAGAACAGAGAAATAAAGCAACAGTAAGTCATCATTTCATATCTAGTTCAGTCTGATATCAGAGACAGGAAGGTAGATTTGTAATAATTAGGGGGGAAAATAGACTATTGGCAGGCAACTCCAGTTTTTTAAATAGATAGCTTGCCTAGAAATGATGCACACACACACACACCCACCAACATACACATTAATGACATTGTTCAGCAGGGTACATATGCTGCAGACAATAAAAATTGGGAACTGCTGGAGCGGAGGACAGACTAAACTGTCCCCACATAGGCTAGAAATTATTGTTGAAAAATTATTGTCGGAGGCCTAGTGGTCAGGCTCTCAGACTCGCAACTGTAACGTCGTGGGTTCGAATCCCGTCAGGGGCCCGGCGTTGTGTTCTTGGGAAAGACACGTTACACCAATTTTTCTCACTTCATCCACATGGAAATGGGTACCCAGCTATAGACCGTGAAAGATCTTGCCAGTTTGTTAGTGTTTGAGTGCTTAGTCAGCTGCTTGCACTGTAAGCTTCCCAGAAAGCTGATAATGTTTCTGAGTGTATATAGTCTATTGGGGTAATAATATAGTGCAAAGCGCATACAGCTTGCCATTGAGCGGGAATGTGCCCTATACAAATGCTATTCATTATTATTCTAGATACACCCCACCCTGGGGAGTTTCTGGAGGGGTTGCTGCTGGTACTCCTGGTACGTCTAGTTTCTTTCCTTCTTTTGCTTCTACCAATCTTGCTTTTTTCTTGCACAAATTAATGGCTGCTATTGTGTTGACAGGCTCCTTTTTGCCAGGCTGTTTAGTAGGTCAGTCCAGGGGACAGAAGACCCCCCCCCCCCCCGACCTTAGTTTATTAATAAAATGTGTCCCATATTGGCCAGAGAGCTTGACAAGCCACACCTGTAACTGCTGTAACACTGTCACTGTTCAAATATCAATTCATTACTCTTGCCTATACACATTTTATGAGAAAACAGTTTCGGGTAGAAACCCTCTCCCTCCCATGGTGCAACTAGATAAATCAATAGCCTGAAGGGCAACTGACTCAGAAGAAAAGTGTCAAAACCTTGTGGAATAGAAAGCATTGCATTTATAGTAGTGCAGAGTCAATAATCAAACAGTCAATCATTCTTATAGATGTGGGTGGTCAGCTCTCTCTTTCCTGTCAAACATCTACCGTCCTTATTTCTCCTCATTTTCTTTGTTTGTTACTATAGTAACACCTCTTATCTTTGGCACCTTTTTATGAAAAGGTGCCATTCAAGTCTTACCAAAAAGAAAAAAAAATTCTCACAGACGATCTTCATTGCCCAGACCAAGAGCATAAAGATTGTCTTCTGCCTCACTCACCATTCAATGACCAAAGGTTTAAAAACTTTTGATTTTGGGCCACTAGAGTTCGCGCCCCAGGCAAGCAATACAGTCCATTGTAACAGGTGTGACTGACTGCATCAGTGGCAAACATTTTTTTAGTACTGCATGTTCCTGAACAGAATACTGCGCACTTCTATTAACAGCAGGGATCACAAAGCAGTAAAGCAGCCTGAAACATGCCATCTATCTATCTAGAGTTTCCAAGAATAAAAGATAGGGGACAGAGGTTTTTAAAAAAAATCACTCACTAGTAGTGGCAAGCTAGGCTAGGGCCTGCAATCTAACCCAGTAGCCATCTTCAAAATACACAGAACAATGTTAAAATAGCATCTATTGCATTAGATGTAAAAACGTGTTCAACAACAAACAAACAAATTCCACAAGTAATTCAAACATACTTCCACTTACTTCACCAGCAACCAAGACTACCCCCCCCCCCATCCCCAGAAACTGTTACAGCTTTTTTATTTTTTTTGTAAGTAACTAATAATACTTCCTTCTGTTAGCTGAAGAGCACAAGCTCAAATGGCTGATGAACCATGAAAGTAAAAAGACGTCCTTCCTCAGGACAGAAAGGCTGTTTTCAATTCCTGAGATCCCAGAGTTCAAACCAGGATGTCAAACAGAACATCAAAATAAAATAGATAGGTATTTCCATACACTTTTGCAAAGATTTACTCTTAAACCCATCTCCAAACACATCTTGTGTCATATCTTATAAGATGGGATGAGCTACCATGTGTTTCACTTCCCAGTCAAAAGACCAGCATTTGCTCCAGGTCAGTACATTTCAAGTTACGGCTCACTGAGAATACTCGCAGCACTGAAAATGTGATAATTAATGATGATGGAGCTTCAATTATAATTTCTGACTTCAACAAGACCAAAGGTCTTTTAAAAAGAGTTAGTCATATTCGCACAGCAGCTAGGTCACTATTCTTCCCAGCAGTTCTATAAAGCCTATTGTATTGAAGCTCAGGGGGAAAAAATAAAACTACCCCAAAAGCTGAGAGCACACACAAAAATGGGCCTACCTACTAAGAAAGAAGTGGCATAAACATTCCACTCTGAGAACATGTATCCATACAAAGCCATTCTATCAAGCACAGCTTTTGAGCGACACTCTAAGCACAAAACATACTCACTGCCATTATACCCTGAGACTCCATGTGAGCCCGCCGCAAGGCAGAGTCAAAGTTAAGCTGGGATTCACAAATATTCGAGGAAGGGTGAGAGGGAAATTTTGTAATCTGCATGTCTCATATCTGATCAGTACGACCAGACAAAATACCTGACACTGCACACAGTTTCAGTGCGAGCCAAAAGAGAAGCAAATTTACACAACAGTGACCCACAGTGCCAGAAAAGCGTACAGTATCAATCTTGAAAACAGCCCCCCGTACATTTTATTCGATACAAAATCATACCACAAGATCCAGTACTTGCATCTAATATTAGTACTTCACTCCTTCACTAGCTAGACAAAACATATTGTAGCAAAACCAAACTATGATTGTACTTAACTTCTTTTTCATCATAACAATACTAACAAAAGTCTTTTACCCAGCGATTTACGAATACCAAAGTAAGTTCATCACAACGACTTTTGAAACTGAAGCCTGAGTCCCAGAGGAGACAGTGTAAAGATATTTAAGAACATTATGGAATCCAACGATTCCGGAAGTTGATTAACTTCAATGTTTGCCAAAAAATAAATTTACATAATTAAAGCAGCTGATATTTTGAGAGCTATTTGGGTGGTCTTCCCTTCCCTTTGACAAAAGCTCATCATCAGATGACTTCGACAACATGAAAAAGCCACTGCTACACAACTTGCAATGCCAGCTGCATGTCCCTGACCCAACAAATTATACTTTGTGAGGGATTTTCTAACTTCCTGACATATATAAGTGTGCAAAACTACAAAATAGTAACAATGTCATGCAACTGACAACATTACCAATGGCACATAAAGAGCAATCAATGGTACAGGTGTATTCTATATGCTATCAAACACTAGACAATATTTAACACAAAGAGATTTAGATACTGCTTTTAAAAGAAACATCCTAATCCTAGAACAATAAATATATGATCAAACAAAAAAATAATTTAGGATGTCAAAGCGTAAAACAGTAACTGCCTCTGTTGCAATACATGCACATTATGTTGCTATGTTTTGTGAAATTAAATAAAAATGAATCTGTGATATTGTAAAGCCCACTGTTAAGTCTATGGACCCAATAGCACGCCGAAGTGAATGCTTCATTTACTCCTTCACATCAAATGTACACCTCAGCACCCTGTGGTGAAAATCTAGCACTGGGCTCAAAGAGCAGCAGTCCTGCACGCTCAGGAGACTAGGGGTCAAGGGGTTAACCCATTCAACCTGACTGCTGAACTTGCACGAGACAATCACACACTTACTAAAACTCCAAGGGTTTACACGTATTTTTACGCAACCTTCCTTGATCAATAACTCCTGCATTACTATCTCTCTGAGCACAAGGATTTAGTCCAATAAGTGAAAAGCCCCTTGTGCCGCCTTCATTGAAGATGGAAATCATTTTGAGTTAAAAACAACTTTTGATGATGAAGAGAGGAGGGCAAATAGACCCATTGCTCTCAATTAGGCATTACCTTTCGATACAAGGGACTTTTTTAAAAAATGTACAACTAACATTTTGCAGTTTTAAATGGGCAATTGACCCTCAAGGTTTTAAAATATTAAACAAACCTTAGTCCAGATTTTTTGTCGTGCAACTGTAACGTTGGCTTATGCGGTGATGAGATTAAGTGACTCAGAGCGAGTAAAATTCTGTCCGGCAAGAGGCAATAACATATTCATTTGGGAAAGGCCTCTGAAATTAATATATAAATAGCTTCTCCCTTTCAACAGTTTCATTCTGTGTCCTAATATCTGTTGTCTTATGTGTGAAAAAGGGAAATTCCTTTGTGATCAGAAAGACCGACAAGAAAATATGAATTACAATCCTTCAGAAATTCAAGGTTAAGAAATAAGGGTGCCAAAAAAGAAAAAAACCCCCAAAAACCCAGAAAACAAACAGTGAGAAAACTCACGGCTTGGTGGCATAAATAATGTCAGAAAGCAGTTTACTTGTTTCTTTCTATTTCAATAACAAATCTTTCTAAAGTAGGGAACACATGGACCGCCACTGCCGAATGAGTCTGTTCTTGTGGGCCTGAAATTAAGTCACACAAATGATTGCAAGAGGAAAGCATAACAAAACAATAAAAAAAAAAATCAGCACAGATTTACAACATCAGTTTTTTTCCCGTAATGAGGTGCAATCTGATACACACACAGAGAGGAAGGCATTTTCTATTTCTTACCATTTGTGAAGCAGCACTTGGGGACAGAATGCCACCAGGACTTCCTGGGTTCGCAGTATTAGCAGCTCTATTCTGCTGCTGCTGTTGTTGTTGCTGTTGCTGCTGCTGTTGTTGTTGCTGCTGCTGCTGCATGGCAAAATTTATTTGGTTCATTTGCGTCATCTGCATGGCAGCTGTGGAAAGACAGAAAAATAGTTGAAAGTTGATTTTAAAAAAGTAAAACACATATCGATACTAGCTTCAATCATTTAAAGAAATGAGCCTAGAAAATTTGGCCCATAAAACATTAACTGTGCTATCAGCAAAACATTTAAAGCAGGGATATTTTATTTGATTAGATTTTCCATTTCTCAATTCTTTGGCTTCGAAATTTCGCATAAATCCTTTTTACATGTCACAACACCACACATCTGACTATTTTGACTAATAACTAATTGTACTTGGACTATTTCAATAATGTGACTTTTCTTGGAATTGGCCGACAGCGAATTATACTTTTGTTATTTGACTTGTGTAACAACTTTGAAATGCCCCAAGAATAAAAATCTAAAAAAGGCATGTTTAAACTAGTCAGCATTGTAAATATGATGAACATCAAGCATTGCAAGTGTGGAGAAATTAGACTAATCACAGCATTTCTGAAATGCCCCCCCCCCCCCTCCCTATTTTTGCTTCTTATATTTCCAAGACTAGCAATCTGGAGTTCCCAAGCCAAACAATGAATGCTGAAAATTATTTTAAAAAAAAAAAAAAGAGACAAACCTAAAGCATTTGGATTGGGCAGCATAAACGGCTGTGCGTAGCTCTGGAACTGAGGCAGATAGGACTGGCCGTGCATCGGCTGTCCAATCACCTGCAACGGGGGCATAGGGGTGCTGGGCGAGCGCAAGGCATTGGCCGCCGCCAGGGAAGGCTGAGGTGTGGGAGCAGGGGGCGCCACCACGCCCTGTATCGAACCCACGGAAGAAACTCGGGGCTGCTGTTGTTGTTGTTGTGCTGCGGCGAGTTGCTGCTGCAGTTGTTGTTGTTGAGACTGCTGGAGCTGCTGTTGTTGCTGCTGCTGCTGTTGTTGCTGGGATGGGGTGGGTGCAGGAGGTGGGTGCTGCTGTGGCTGTGGCTGTTGGGCCACGTGAGGCTGTGGGGCTGCCGCCTGTGGCACAGGCGGCTGCATCGTCTGCTGAGCTTGCTGTTGATCAGCCATCTTGGAATCTCACGTCGATACTAATAATCCTGAAATAAACAGAACTTAAAGTTATGCACGAAGAATACAAAGAAGTCGTTAAAAAAAACCAACAGAAAGTGAAAAACATTAAAAGAAAACATTTTAAAAAAACAAAAAACAAGTGAGTCTCACTCATTGCATGGTTTAAAGAACTGACCTGCAATTAATTACTCATAATGACACCCCCCCCCCCCATACTGTACCAGTAACAAATGAAGCTGTCTCATGCAGATCAAGTCTAGAATCAAATACAATACAGTGTTCTCGACACATATGATGATGATGCACTGAACGAAGTTAGAATACGCAACAATTTCTGGTCATAAACAAACATTCTTCATCGCACTTTTTTCTTTCAGAACTACAGATTTAAGTGGGAAAACAGCATCGAATGCTTATTACCCGTTGTCTCTATGTAGCCAGCCGGTGGCACCAGCCAGTAATCTGGTCCTGTATTGACTAGTAAAGAATCGAAATTTATGCTTCACATCAACGCCAAAAATGACCAAGTACATTCAATGTGTATATGACTAGTATTCCATTCACAGATTTTTCCCTATAACTATAAAGGGTTTCTTCAAAGGTGTGTTCACAGTCTGAATGACAAGAACTCTTCTCCAAATGTGCATTGCTCCAGTTTGTGGCAGTTTGGAAATGATTTCCAAGGTCAGCTGATTGCTCAAAAAACAGCTGCAACTTTGTGAATAATAATTGTTTTTTAAACAAAGAAAAGTGAACATGCACATTGAGAAGTGAATGGAGATTGAATAACACACAAAAAAATCCAGATCCTTTTTTAGCAATTATTATTATTTTTTTACTTTGCAGGGGTGAATCGCAAATCTGACTTTTTTTGCACTGGTTCGTATTATAGCCACAAATTACTATTTGATTGGTAGTTTAGCCCAGCTTAATTTGATTTTATGTATTCATAATTTCCTTTTCTAATGAGATAAAAACACTGTTGTAGATTAATTTTTGACGAGAAATTACAGTCCACTACAAAAGCGACCCTGTGCTCCATCTTGAATTAACTAAAATTAAATTCCTACCAAGCGCAGGGGAAACCCCCCCCCCCCCCCAAATAAGCGGTTATTATCTAAGTCAATAAAGATTAGAACCATGCTGACAGTAACTGGACGACAATTTGATGATGAATAATATCAATGACATAAAATGTAATGTGCAAGACTCACTTCAAGACAGTCTCATCCTCTGTAAGCAACTGTCCATTACCATTAGGCAAACCAAGGTCTCTATAGTCTTAGTAATTAGGAAACATGGCAACTGGTAACTACTGGCAACTCGTAACCAAGCCTGGTAAGCAGTTACGTAATTGTTGTCTTGGATACATAGAATCTAGAGAAGAGAAAGATTATTAAAAAAGCGTTCGTCCACCGGAACAGTCGTGTCTGGCTCCCCTACTGCATTTTCAATGTCTGTCTAAAGCTGACATTCCATATGCCCGTAAAACCGATGTGAATTTCGGGTGCGAAATTCGCATGCGAACTATTTTTTTCGCGCCAACCTTTTTGTCATTGTGTAAATCCATATACCGGAATTTCGTATGGCCGAATCCGAAATTTGCATGCGAAGATTTTGTTTCGCACGAGGGAGCGAAACTTTTTTCTTCGGCACCCGAATTCTTCGTGAAGTGGGCGGGGCTTATTTCCCGCCAAATCTACTTCAAAGGAACGAAGCAGCATAGAAGCACTAGGTACATGGGGAAAATGTCGAAATGTTGATTTCCTTGGTTCGAGAGAGAAGTATTAAAACTAAGACTGAAAAGAGGTGTTTATGTTCAAGGTGGCTGCCATTTCCTTGGCATTCACTTTTTTAACGCTTGTGGGAACCTTTCCGGACTCTATGTAATCAAGACCTAGATATATCTATGCTATCATTCATTGTTTAAATCATGTAATAAAAAAAAAAAAAAGCATTTCACTTACCCCCCCCATTAAATGCACTTGAATATAACTTCTAACATACATTAATCATAACTTAAGATTGCTGTCTGTGCCGCAGCCACATATCAGCCAGCGCTGTCGGTGATAGGACTGAAGCTTCGAAAAGAAAACGACCCAAGAAAGCAAAGCATATTATGAAGGAAAGGCCATCATCAAGTCTGGACAAAGCAATTTAAAGCCTGCTTTCGTAGGAACAGGAGTTCTACAGCAAAATTCTCTCGTTTTCAACGTAGAGTGCTTGCTCTGACTGAACAGGTGCCGTGATTTCAGTCAGATGACGGATATAAATTTCGGGTATATGGAAGGAGGGCTCTTTTTTCATCGCACGTGAATTTTGTGTACAAAATTCGCGCCCGAAGTTTGCATCGATTTTTCGGGCATATGGAATGCCAGCTTAAATGTGATCGTGATGTCCCCACTGTACAGCAACAGAGAAGCCAAACTGGCAACAAGAGGCTTCCTCTTTGCACTACATGGGGGGCAACTGGACGATCAATTGGCCAACTAGGTGCAAGGCAAGATGCTCAAACGAAGAGTGCAGCGTGACAGGAGGCAGTGATAGACTTGCGAGCCAGCATTGATGAACAGAGATACAGGAACGAGTCTCTACAGTGCAACAATACAGCAGTGAACCCCTATAACATCTCTTTCGCCACATTCAAATCTTCAGAAAGCTAGAATATTAATTTTTAAAATATCGTCCCTGCGCTAGCAAAATGGCACATTATATTACATTTCTCATTTTTGCTACTTTTGAGGAAAATGGAAAAAAATGTTTAAGTAGATGATTTATAATTTATCGCTAAACAATGGCTAAACTCGCCATGCAAGTTTATTTTGTGGGAACGACTTCTGTAATGAAAGTGACCACCCAAACAAACACAATATAAAAGAGATCGAGACCTAACCCTAACCCTTGCCACAGTACCCCCCAAAAAAAATAAAAGGTTAGTTGCAGTGAAGTATACTACTGCACTCTACATAAATAAACCAAATAGTGATTTCGTACAGTCAAAGTACTTGGAGATCGATGGATAGCGAAATGCACTTTGTGGATCCATGACCTCGTAGAGCGTCTTTTGGCCCAGATATCGATCGATAAAGTGATGCGGTCCAGCTGAGCGACTACACGCAGTGTTATCACTTGTTTCGCTGTTCAGATGTACTAATTGTTGAGTTTATCGCGTTTTGCTCTTTGTTTGTATAGCAATGCCAAAGAAAATTTAACCCTGGAAGCGCGCAGGCCCTACATAAATAGCATGATCCGCGCTACCTGGGAAGTGCGGAGACCCTATAGGTCTGAACTACTTTGACCGGGAAGCGCGCAGGCCCTTTATAAAGGACATAGACACTGACCTTTTTCAAAGGAAAATTTCAGTATTCCTTATATTATATATGGAAAATGACGTAGTAAATTACAGGTCAAAGTTATAAATAGTGACCAACCAATGACTTTGCAAGTTATCTTGACCTCATAGAGCGTCTCTTGGTCAAGATATCGATCGATAAAGTGATGCGGTCCAGCTGAGTGACTACACGCTGTGTTATCACTTGTTTCGCTGTGCTGATGTACTAATTGTTGAGTTTATCTCTTTGTATAGCAATGCCAATGAAAATTTAATTTTTCGCTTTAGCCCTTTTTTTATTTGACCTAAGAAAGGATTTTCAATTCTAAGAATTATGCTTCTTGAATTTTAAGAATCGGTTCATAAATGAAAAGTTATTGGGTTGTAAAGGTTGGCAAAATATGGATGACCCACATTAGGAAAATACTCCAAAACCGTGGACCACGCAGTAGTAGATTCTGTAAGATAATCAACAATATTTGACCTAAGAAACAATATATCTCAGTAATTAATTGGAGTGTTAGAGAGAAACTTGGCTACCCAATGTGTTTTTAGGCGGAGAAATCATTTCTACCATCAGATTTACTAACCATTTCGTAGTTGTTTCGTTATAATTATAATTAAAATTTTGGTGTACATATTTCCATTTCGCGAAAAAGGGGAGTCTGGACGAGTCCATTTTATTTATAGCATCGTATCACAACATGGGATCTTTAAATGAATATATATGTTAGCAGCGTGAATAAATAACGGCAAAGCTTTCTTTCATGACTTTAAACCATGCCAAACTTAAAAGATTTAAGTTAATTCAATCTGGCATGCTGTACAATTAAAAATTCTTTTTCCCCGTTGAGACGCGAACACCCTGAGGCGAGATAATCTCGCCCTGGAATACCCCCATTGCGATGTTTCAGGGAAATAGAGAGAAAAATAACCGGATGCGCGCCCGCCATTGCCCTATTTTAAGTGACCAATGAATGGGCTTGGAATAGTCCTACGGGGACATGTAGGTCACATTCATTTGCCGCGAGAGTGGGGGGAAAATGGCCGGTCTCCATACGAAGCCGCTTTGGGTAGGGGGGTAGTCATGCATAATTTATGATAGGGTCTAAACAACTACTCGACACAGAACGTTCAAATTTGAGCGCACTATAGAGGAGATCAGATAGATCTATTACCATCTCAGCGTTGAAATTCAAGCTCCTTATAGTTTTCGGTACACACGATACGAAAGTGTTTCCGACACCAAAAGTATCTATGGGTTAATTTATCATTTATTTGTGAACGAACTTCAACGTCCACATATTAGTATGCCCTGTTTTCTTCGGGCTGCCGAGTTTCATTCACATTGGTTCAGAAATAGAGCAGACCGAGGCTGAGAAAGTTAGTCACCTACGCTATGACCCCGTCAAAAATTCACCCGCAAACGGGGACCAAATTTTCGTCGCGCGGGAAAGCCCGATTGGCATTGCTAGTTTGTATTTATTTGATTGCTTATATCATTTTTGAATGGTCCATTCTATCAGCTTTAAGAAAAGATATGGTTTTATGCCTTTTATCATCTGTTTCAAGCTGTATTTATGGTCATTTTTCAGTAGCAGGTATACATCTCGGGTATCTCAGCTGGGGACTCTTCGGGAGAAATGGTCCTGGCCTAACTCCATAA